AATTCCTGGGCTTCAGTCATTTATTGTCTATTTATCAATTAAAATACGTTTCGATGTTTTCCACCATCATCAGTTTCTATGTGTAGCGTTGTTGCTACTTTAAGCTTTGGCAAAAATATATGCAATGGAATTGAAACACAGTCAGGAAAGTATGTACAATTATTTATAACTATTAAAAACAGACATCGCAGAAACTATTTAATAATGAGTGAGAGGTAGGTGTAACAAATGCAAATGAAACTTAAGTCAGTAAAAATACTAAAATAGTGGAAAAGCAAATCTAAAAGGATCTCCGGAGTTTGTAAAAAGCACCCGTTTATATTTAGAACCTAACAGCAATATTAAATGTGCTTTTCGTGGATTTATCCAATGAATCCGCTGTGGTCAAAAACAATTGACCAGAAGCACTGAGTTTCGGAATATTCTATTTTCATCGCGAGAAAGTGATTCTGGGATCGGCAAAATCTCGCAAAATAAAATTTATGGTTCTTGAAAAATCCGAAAATAACCCATGCACCAAAATACATTTTGTGAAAAACGAAACGTTCTCTTTGGTTTAATTTCAGAGTGCGAATGCATTATTTTTCTCGAGTATCATGTTGAGCCAGTAGCTAGCTGTTCCTGCAAAATTGCCCAGCGATATGGGCAAATATTTGCCGAACGTGATAATATAGAAGGATTTTGTAAAGTGTTAAGTTAAAACTTAAAATGCGGCCTTGCGGTCTTCATGCAGCATTTTTGCCTGAGCGTATTAATAAAATCGTTCAGTTTGGCAGGCATGAAGGTGATTAAACAGATGGACCTTTGATTACATTCAGCCAAACCAAACAATGAGTTTGTTACATTTTTCCGGTATTAATTAGAAAGAAAAACATTTCAGAACAATCGTCATGTTTGACCTTGGCATTAGTTAAACTGAGAAGCTATTAGTTAATACTGCTGGCTGTTTCCATTCAAGTATAACTGGTGTTAACTCTCATCAAAATAATGTCTTGGGTGGTACCTATCTACTTTCATATATTTTGATGTTTTTGTCCTTATACAAATAGAGTAATATCAAGCCAAATGTATATCTATTTAAGCCGGGTTATTATTTGTTTCCCGTTATCACAAATCCAGAATCATCATTGATATTATCAGGTCTGATAAGTTATGTTAAGACTAACTGATACTGATAACCTACATAATCTCTTGCAAATACCAATGACTAATTTTTAGGGTGCGGTATTTCCTGAAATTGAAGATGCTTAAGTACTGCAAATAATTTATATCCGATAATGCATGCATAACGGATAAAAACGCATATACGGTATATGTTTTACACATGAGGGCATACTACCAATCATTCTTAAATTCGCAAATAATACGGAATTGTGAACGAGGCTGTGAAGCTTATTACAGGAGAATTTAATCAGCCTCATGTACCTATCACATGTTTGAGACATTTATCCGTATTACTCACGCTTGCATTACCCGTAAGTGTGAGTAGGATTTCGATGATTCTCAGTTCGTATTCAGAAACTTCACTTTTCTGAATGAACTGTCTCTCTCAGAAATGCTGTAACCAGCGAAAGGATATTTTTGCATCCACTGTGCACTATGAGAAAGCCTTGGACCGAATTTCACCCGATATCCTTATTGAAATATAGGGATTTTTTTGCAAATGCAATTGCAGAAAAATCGCGTGAAAACTAAAAACATTTCTAAAATGATGTTTGTTATTAAAAGTAGGCCTGCGTAACACTGTGTTGAGTTGCACTTTTGAGTTGTTGCCGCTCTCTGAGTTAATGCGCTATAACACATCGGTGAATGAGTCATAACTCATTTATTAAAGCGGATTAAAGCTGTACGAAACCCTAGACTGGAATTTTAACATTCGGAGTATCATTTTTTCAGCAACGGAACTGAGTTACTGAGTACCAAGCTATTTGCGCAGCACTGCTCCAACACCTAAAAATGCACTGAGTTACCTTTTCCTGGCTTTTGTCTAAAACGAGAAAAATCGGAAATTTTTAAGAAACTTTAAAATTCTTCAGAGCGATGAGATTTTCAAGGAGTTTTCCAAATAGTTGATCATATGCCTTTGCTTTCTCTGATCGTTTTTTGGAAAATTAATTTTATCGAGAAAAAAACAAGATAACTAATCCTAAATTTGAAAGTGGAAAAGGATGTCAATACTTTTTACGAAACGACGAAGGAGGCGAGTGTTGTAATAAAATTTATTTTAAGATTTTTCGCGGAAAATATAGTTAGATTGTCAGTATTTTTACGTAAAACATTACTTAGAAGAAACAGTAACTTTGCTAAAACTGGAAAATTCTGAAATTTTGAAAAAACTAAAAATATTGTTAATAAATGGCCCTTAAAATAAATCGAAGAATAACTTGCCAAAAAAGTAAATTTTTTGCCAGCACCGGGACTGAATTACTGCGCCGGTGCGTTGGGTTGACACACAAAGCCAGTCGCGCAGCACTGCTCCAAAAATTTCACTAAGTTACCCAGGCCTTATAAAAAGTGCGTCCTTTAAGCCTCTATCCGGTATTGACAACTGGAGGATTGCAGTTGAATCGGCTCTCTAAATATGAGCCAATTTCTAAGAGAGGTTTTTGAAACTTGTATTATTTTAGAATTTTTTTTATGTTGCGTGAAAGCCAAAACATTTCTGGAATAATGTTTGAAATAAAAAAGTGCATCCTTTAAACCTCTATCCGGTAATGGCAACTAAAGCCTTCCAGTTCAATCGGTTCTCTCAATATGAGCCAAATTCTAAGAGCGGTTTTTAAGGCGTGCACTATTTTCGATTTTTTAAATTTTGCGTGAAAGCCAAATCATTTCTGATATAATGTTTGGTATAAAAAAATCCGTCCTTTAAGCCTCTATCCCGTAATGACAACTAGAGCGTTGCAGTTGCGTTGCAAATCGGTTTTCAAGTCTAGCATTATTTAGTGTTTTAATACACATCATAGAAGAATAGGTTCAATTCTTGTGATCCGCTAATTCGGTTTTTTTATAACCCGGTGCTTCTTGATTTTTAATGATTTGATTGAGAGTGCTCGGGAACTTTTCAATTAAATGAGAACAATCCACTGCAAAGAGAACCTTAATTTGAAGTTGATACTTGTGATATATGATGGTTCAATGTCTATTGCTGTACGAAGTGTAGTCGGAGACTCTGAAGGTCAGGATGTTGAACCAACTGGAGGCATTCGAAATGTGACTCCACAGAACGAACTATGCTTCATATTCTATGGACAAATGTTGTAAACGAGGCAACTGAACAAGCAAACATCGAATGGCAACTATTAGCTACCATAAAATTCCGAAAGACATCATATACCGGGCATGTTTTGAGAAGTGATAAAGATCGTCATCTAAATTTTATACTCTTTTATATTATATACTTTTTTGAAGTTCACCCAACTTTAAGAAAATCGCACTCAAAAAGAAAACGAATAAAACTGTTGTTGCAACTTCAACCATCATTTAGGTGGAGCCAACTTTTAGGCTTATTTATTTCGATAATCTTCTATTTCAACTATTTTTTTGAAATCTGCAATAGACTAAATAATTAGGACCCAACCATTGCAATGAGAGCCCATTATTTATCCATTGCGGAAACGTTTTATAATTTACCCTGCTAGAACGGTCACAGATTTGAAACAACCGCAAGAAACTAAAAATGTTCCCAATTGAACGGGTAATTTATTTTCGGTTAAAAAACGGCCAGAAGAAACGCTACACGAAAAAAATGTTAATGTGCAAGTGTTCCGAAGCTGATTACCTATTTCGCTGTGTATTTAAATAAAATTTATTGCAAATTTTGAAAACATTTTTGTCTGTTGGATTCACATAGGAGGTCACTATGCCTTGTGGCAATTTTTGCTTAAAATATTTAAAATTTAACGGTTCTATAAATTTTTAAGAAGTCAATTTAGAACATCGGACTTCACGAGAGGCAAGAACCTTAAGCAAATTTGCAGGGACGACATAGTTATTATGTATCAGCAAAGCTTTGAAGAAGAATTTTAAATAATTATTATTTAAAAGTATCCGCTCTTAATGCGGGCAGAACAAGTAAGTTGAATGGAAAATTCCAATTTAGTCAAGAGAAATATTTTACCGCTTACCTGCTTTTTTTCGTCAGAAGAGCATTTAGCGCAATTTTACTTATATAAAATTATGAGTAACCGATTTCTTTTTCGACTCTCCGACATTCTTATCAAAATCAACCTCAACACTGCCGGAAAGTTCCGGGGAAAGAAAGGGATGTGACATCACAAAAGTTATTATTAAGAATCCTTCTATATTATTATTAAGAAGCTATTAAGAGAACATCGAAAAACTCGCAAGATCCGTAAGCTTGCAATCGAAGGATTATCGGACGTGGTGAATTATGGACGGATGGTTGGAAAGAATCCAATTAAATATCTCGAATTATTCTATTCTGCAGAGACTTGAATTGATTTTATCAACTGAATGTCTCAAATCAATTATCCACAGGGCGATGCAGATGATTACTTTCGCATTTATTGATATCAAAGGGAGATACGAGGCCTAGTATTCCCATAAATCGCGTGAATCCATAAAAAATGTGCTTAAAGGTCGCAGTATTAGAAAATGGAGATTGGGATTTCCATAGCATTCTGCTAAAAATGTCAGTATGAATTCGCTCAAATATTCCGAATTGCGACTAAGAAATGTGAGATATTAATAATCACTCGATTATAAAATAAATTCGAATATTTCATTACCCGAAATCTTTTTATTAAAAATTAGAATATTCATTTAAAACGCTTAAAATTGCTTTTAATACAGAGCCCTAATTATCACCGCCAGTTGAGTAACAATCAAATAAACTTGTACAAAGTGTGTTTAGAAAATTAAGTCGTTTCTTTAATTGAAATATACTGCAATAAATAAAATTCTTGTTATTCTTTGTGGCTGGTAATTTAAAACAAAATTTTACTAAATCCTGATCTCAGCTTCATGAGTCATCATAGCTAAGCAACATCGATTATTTCTCTAGAAAACACACTAATAAATAAATTAACAGGGCGTAGGTAATAAAACATCTCTCTAAACATAGTAAGTGTTAATTATCACTTACGCAATAAAGCATCTAAAGGAAAGAACAAACATACCACTTGTTTTTGCGACCACATACAATGTTATTCACCTGCACATGACTTAATTTTTTCCAATTAGTGACCTAATTTATTTTTGTTAAAGGTTTATTTCCTCTTATGAGCCATGCTGCCATGAATATACGTCCAGCATTGTTGACCATATACGAGACCCATTTCGTTCCATTAGGAGATCGGCTAAGGCCGGCTTTAAGTGGATTTCTTAGTGGGATTCTTCCGGGGTTGGATACAGGAACCGACCACTTTGATAGGTAGGAAGCGAACGCGAGAAAATGGGGCTAAGTTAGTAATAACGAATTTTGTTGTAGAACTAACAAATTATTAGAAGACGTTTGTGATGGGGTGGGACCGCCCTATTTCTATACCTGCATATGGCAATGTGTGGCAAATAACAGTCCTGTAAGATTGCCGGCGGTTACCTACGTTTTCGCTCATTATAGTCGAAAGTTGCCCATGGAGGACCAACTCTATTTAATGGGACATGATATTGGATTAATGGTATGGGCATTTTTCAGGAATGTGACACAATTAGCATGAATTTATTGTGATTATGATTGTAAAATTGATTATTTATAAATACTACTAGAGTAGCTTTAAATAAAGCAACACACTTGAAGATTGATGATTGATCGTGAAAAAAATCCTGAAAACGATTAAGAAAACTTTTTCTGCAATGTTTAGTTATAACATTTTTCATTGATTCATTTAAATTGTTTTAGTTCAAGCCTCACATAATAAATTGTTGCTATATTGAACTGGTATATTTTCGTTTCAGGTGTCAGGTTTATGTGCAGCAGTTCAAGATTCGAGCGTGCTGGTACAAAGGTCCGCTTTAGACCTGCTGATGGTGTGTTTTCCCATGCAAAACAAGCAACTTCTTTACGCTGACATGGTGCGTTTAGTCACCGCAGCCCTGTCCACAATACTAAGAAGGGACATGTCCCTAAATAGGTCTGTATTCATATCACATTTTATTAATACTGGGAAAGAGTCAAAAGTACTTCCCAATCAGCGTAACGCGCCTTAGCACAAGCTGATTAGGAAATAATGTCACAACATTGAATTTGAATTAGTCGACCTTGTTGATTATTGTAAATTACCGAAACGCTACTGGGTGATTCAAAATATTGCGTTATTGGGCTTGGCTGAGGAATGCAAAGATAGTGGATCACAAAAATATTCGAACACTCCGCGCTTAGTTGAATTTCTTAAACAGTACTAGAGTAACGCATTGAAAAATGTTTTAATAACAAACAAACCAATTGGAAAAAGAAGAATTTTATTTTACTACACTACAACAATATCGGATTTCTTCTAATAATATTAAAAATTCTTAAGTGGTATAAACAATTGATGCGCTTTTTCGCTGCAGTTAAGTAGGCATAGTTATATTCGGTGCAATGAAAATTTATTGCAAAAGAAAAGAACTAGAATTAAGTCTGGACTTAATTCCATTATATTAATAATAATAAAAAATCGCGGAAAAATTTAACGTAAAAAAGGTGCTGTAGTATTTAGTTATAAAAATGAGATTGTATTATTCACGTAGACCGTTCAAAGACGTTACATTCAAAATAAATGAGGCTTATACCGAAACGAGTAAAATAAAATCTTAAAGTTAGTGCCCCACAACTTCCAGTTAAAAGGAAAAAGTATCTGTTTACACTGTTCGCAGATGTATTCAGGCCAATGAATATTAAGCCTTGGCCTGTACTGAGTTTGGTAAAAAATAAGTGTTTTCGTCAACACAGGTCGAAGTTCAAGATGTTTGGGGTCGGATGGACCACAAATGTTGTGGGAAAAACCATATGAACTTCAAAATAAAAGTTTGTCTGCAACAGTAAAACACGGCGGGTGATCTCTTATGGTATGGGGGTGCATTGCCTCATTTGGTGTGGGCGAGTTAGTTTTTATTGATGGAAGCTTGGACAAAATGGGTTATTTAAAAATCTTAAAAACTAATTTGTTTCAAAGTGCGTCTAAAGTGGGAATAAGGGAGAATTTTGAATTCTATCAAGGCAATGATTATATGCATAGTGCCAGGATTGCCCAGGAATGGACGCTTTATAAATATCTCAAATCTCTCATACTACTCATAATATTACTGCAAAATTCAGTTGAAGCAAATTTGACTTGAAGAAGGCAAAGTAGATAGATTTTTTTCCAGAGTCATATTTTTTTCTGTCCGAACGTCGCACATCTGCGTTGGAATAAAAAGGTAGACCCACCAAATACTAATCGTTACTTTTGATTGTTCTTAATTAACAAAATGTAATAAATGTGCGAATACTTTTACAGATATAATTTTATTGATTAATTTGAAAGAGCTTTTTGAAAACAATTTATTTCCAAATTAATACAAACAATAGATTTAACTTGTAACCGAACCTTAACTATGACTTATGACTCTTAGACCGTATATGTTAAGACTGACTATCTTTAGACTGAGACTATCTGAGACTCAAATCTTGTGACTTCTGATCAAACATGTAATGACTGAATGCTCGTTACTGCTGTGGCTTCTTTTACAGTTAAATCGTGCTGATCATAGCAGAAGCGATACTACGTCTTATTTTGAAATAATAGTCGGCATAAGTGACCATATAATTATATTCAAACAATAAAAAAAAACATTTCATATTCGTGGAGAAATTCAACTAAACGCGGGGTGTCCGAATATTTTTGTAATTATCTGTAAATACATATGTATAGATAAAAAATTCCTTCCTAAAAGAAAATTTGCACTTTGCCGTTGAATTTGAAGAATTTTTATCTTGATGTAATAATTCCTTTCCTTAAAGTATAAATGATTGATGAAATAAAGGGGCCCTAATGCCGCTTCAACTTGAACGCTTAAGTTTCTGCCAAGAATGGCGCAAACTGATTATAGTCGAAAGTGTTTAAGATCGGTGCTCGTTTTCTTAGGTAAATTTGGCTTTCAATTGCCCTGAAACGTAAAATAGCGTGGAAAGAACAGATGTACTTACCCCGTTTTTCGGGGAGACTGTACTGTGCGTTCAGGAGGATTTTCAAGTTATTTCCGCCTAATTCAAAAGCCGGAAAAAGTCTCTGGAGGGTATCTAAATAGAGAACACACTTGAGTATTTCGTATCCGATCGCGCACTTTCTTTGTAGAAGAAACTTTATGGATTTTTTATGATAGAATTACATTTTTTCGAGTGCGATAACACTTGTCATTTATCAACGATTTTACAGGATTGTTAGTTTTAGTGGCCCCTCATCTCATGACAGATGGAACGAAATAAGATGTTTATCTCTGTTCTATAACGAAGGGTAAACAAGGATGCTGAACATACTCATGGCAAATGCCACTATAAAATACATAGTTACGTAGTCAAATAATATGCTGTTTTCTCTGTTCTATCACGAAGGGTAAACAAGGATGATAGATATATTAACGAGCAAATGCAACTATAATATGCATAGCGAAGTAGCCAAATAATTTATTGTCTCTATTCTATACGATGATAAGAGACAAGGATAAAGATAATAGAATGCTACTATAGAATTTAACATTTTTTAATTGGAAAATTATCGGATAATTACGACGTATTTCTGGCAAAGTAGTTGAAAATATCTCGTTTTTTATATTGATTGAATTGTATTGATGGGAAAAAGAAAGAGGGATGGCTATCCATCTTTTTTCCATGGCAAAAATCGAATCAATTTTGAGAAAACCTTAATGCTTTTCGGAGAAAAACGAGATAAATGTATCTTGTAATTTTGCGCGTAAGAGACTTCCAGATTGTCAATATTTTTAAGTGAAACTATAAAATAGATCGTTTTTGAGTAGAGTAAAGCAAGAAAAAAATTAAGTCAAAACGAAAAAACCACCTTTTTTTACAAACTCTACAGTCTTTAGAGAGTAACTAACTCGCTTATTCTGTTTGTTTTTTGATAAAAAGTTGTCTGATTTTTGTCCCAAATTTGAAGCTGGAGACGAATTACACAACTTTTTACAAAACGACGAAGGAGGCGAGCGTTATAATAAAATTAATTTTATAATTTTTCGCAGCAAATATCTTAAGATTGTCAGAAAATTGTAGACAATTGAGCGTTGAGACGAAAGAGTAACTTTACTAAAGGTGGAAAATTCTGAAAAAAACTAAAAATATTATTAATAAATGGCCGTTAAAATAAATCTAAAAGAAAAGGTTATTAACATTTTCCCAGCAAAGGAGCGAGTTACTGCGCCGATGCCTTGGGTTGAAGGTTGAAGCACCAAGACATTTGCGCATCACCAACACCTAAAAATTAATTGAGTTACCCAGGCCTAGCTCAATGTATTTCTGAGATATGAGCAAAATGTGTCGGGTTTGAAATTATGATCTTATCTTGTACGTTTTTGTCTAATACCCAAGTTTTCCCTTTTGTGTAAAAACAGCCACTATTTTCACACTAAAGTTCTATTTTGAGAGATAAATTTCATCGGGTTTTTACTTTTCTACCTAGGAAAATAAGAACGAGCGGTGTAGCTCTAATGTTTCCTGAGATATGAACCAAAAGGCGGCATCATGTTAGAGCCGATGGCCAATTTGTCGCGTAAAACTAAAAAACAAAAAATTTGCTGTTTGGGTTAAAACATCGAAAATTTCCGAAGTGATGTTTCGCTTGGTGAGTTGGTAATTTTCTGTCCAATGATGTAGAATTGAGCGGGCTAACACAATCTGTTGACACAGATATGCGCATAAAGAGATCGTTTCAGCTTGGACTGAAAAGGTTGCAACGCACTGAGTTTTTGAAACTATCAACTTTCGGTTAAGTCCATGTTTCTCATTTCCCATTGTTAATAAAGCTGCTTTCGGATCCGTATCAGTGTATTCACTTGTACACGGTTAATGATGCCACCAACCGAAAAGTTGTGATTATAGAAACATAAACAACAAAACATCCTACTGTATCATTTGCTTGCTAAGGACATTGTTTATTATTTTCAGACGCCTGTATTCGTGGCTTCTCCAAATCGAATCACAAAACATTCCTCTACTCCAAATCGATGGTGAACAAGCAGATGATATTCCTACAGCCCAAACGCATCCCATCGCTTACGACTTACTCAATGACGCAATTAAAGATATCCTGAAAAAGACCAGCACCAAAGTACCAATTGAAGTAAAATCTTATCGTCTATTGACGTCGTTGTTCGAAAAACCGCAAATTGGGCCAGTTATTCTTGATGGCATCCTGTACGATGTGTTTCGCACTTTGTATTTGTCTTGTTTGAACATGCAGAAGCATCGGAATCAAACGGGACGGTGTGTATCGTTTAATGGGGATTTGAAAAGTCTCAAAGCGTATGATATTGACTTGAATAAGCAATTTGTCAGCAAGAACTGCCAGGAGTTGGTGAAAAATGCCAATTTACTGTTCAACACCCTGCAAAGCTACTACTTATGGTCCTACATCGAGAAGCTCTATGAAGAAGCAGTCGCGAATATAAAGCGCTACAAATACAGAGACCGTTGCCAAGTGAATGATATAGGAAGTGGAACACCTTATATTCTGGAATTGTGCATTCTCACCGATTTTCTCTTGGACATAATCCCGATAGAGTCGTATGCGGACAGCACTTCAAGCATTCTCCCAAATCTGTTCAATAAAATTATCAAATCACTCAATGCACATGTGGGGGAATTGAATCACCATGAAATCTTCAAAAGCTTGGAATTGTGCACGAAAATTCTCGCGAAAATTCAACCGACTACGATGACCCAAATTCAAAAGCAAATAGAGGAAGAACGAATTGCAGCTGAATTATTAGAAAAATCTGCCTTAAATCAAGGCAAATGTGAAGATGGGGAACCGAGAACAATTGAGAAGAGCAAATCGGACTCAAAGATTAGCGAAAACCTAAACGGATTCGCTGATAAGCACGAGCTGACTGTGGATGACTTGGCTAGAGAAAGGTAATGCAATAAAACTCCTCAATCTACAGTATAATCTAATTTCCATTGATGCAATTTTAGGTCTTACAGCAACCAATTTTCAAAGAAAAAAGACAAATCCAGTCCCAAGATAGAAAAAAAGTCAAAAAATAAAAAATCCAAATCCAGCTCTAAATTATACGAGCTTAAGAACGACGACAATGACCAGTCAATAAGCTCGACCTCTGAAGTTGAAATGCCCGAAACGTCGTCCAAAGAAAATACGCCTCCTGCCCTATCAGTGACAACAAAATACGAGAACAAGCACTTTTTAAACTGTTTAGAGCAGTACAAGAAGTTCTTTGTCTCCTTTATCAAGTGCAAGATCTTGCCTGCTACAGTAATTACAGATTTTTTCGCATCCCTCGTTTACGACAAGCAACAAAGGAGCAAAGACTTGCAATTATTACTAGATCAGCGGCTTTCCAACGAAAAGCACCAATTTACACCAGTGGACTACTCGATGAAAATTCAAAGCGATTTAAAAGTTCCCAACATCAGTTCGGACGAAAATTCGAATTATGAACCTTCTATGAGCATAGCGGCTAATATTCTTTTGGAGTTTTGCACCTTTCCCAATCTCCTGACCGATTCGAACGAGAAGAAAATTCACAGTTGGCTTGAAGCTCTGATTGTGGTGGCCTGTTGCAAGGAAGCTTCCCGGGAAATTCAGCTCACTGCCATGAATACACTCTTAGAAATATGCAGTCTATCGAAGAATCAAAATTATTTGAAACTGTACGAAAGTGAGAAAAAAATTATTATAACTGGGATTTTGGAGTATGGGCATGTCTATTATGTCGAGGAGAATACGTTGAGCATTGAGGTAAGCACTCGTAGTGATAATGGTAAAATAACTGAACATGTGTGAAATGAACAAGGCGAAATCACAAAGGCCTGTATTAGAAAGAGAAGAAACACCTCGTATATAAGCAAAAGGGCTGAAGCTAGTGTGGTTTTTCTTATTCAAACACATACATTCGGGTATCTGCCTGGTCCCATTTATTTATTCGTGGACAAACACAAAATTGGCGAGTTCAACTACCGTTGGTGGCGCTGCAAAACGTCAAATTACTCGTTGTCGAGTGATAGCTGTGACTTGTCAGACTTATTTATTGAAGTTGATGACATTTATAACATAAAACAATACTTACATACTTTTCGATCTGCTTCTATTGCTTTAAAAGCTTGCAAAAGTTGATTAGAACAAAACAAATCAGAATCAGATGTAAACACCAATGTCAACAAAACAAGGTTTGCGAGGTCAAACGTCCAGACGCCCCTGGTGGCTAAAATTACACTACAAGCTAAGTAGTAATTTGACACTTGTTTTGTTGACATTGGTGATTACATCTGATTGTGATTTGTTTTGTTCTAATCAACTTTTGCATGCTTTTAAAGAAATAGAAACAGATCGAAAAGTGTGTATGTTTTTTTTTTATGTTATAAATGTCATCAACTCAATAAATAAACAAGTCTGACAAGTCTCAACTGTCATTCAGACAACGAGTAATTTGACGTTTCGCAGCGCCACCATCGCTAGTTGAAGTAGCGAATAGTGTCTAAAATAAGACGATTTACACTCACGTACAGGGTGTTACAAAATTGAAAAGCATTGGAATCTAGTAAAGTATAAGAGATATGAAGTCGGTTAAATAGAGCAAAGTTGTGCATTTTGAAACTTAACAAAATTATGATTTAAAGGTTTTCAGATATTTAAATATTGGACTTTTCTGCAGAATATCATACTTAACGTTCTATTATCAAAGACTGTTAGTACAGCCCTTATTTAAAATTAATTGTAATACCACGGACAAGATTTAGAGATCAGTATTCCCGAATTAAATCAAAATCCCCGAAGTTTTATTGGAAATAAACTAAAAAATAATCAATAACCATTAACTGTGTATCAATTTATACAGGGTGGTCCTCAATTAATGCGACAAAAGTATTGCATTTTAGACAAATTTGCCTTGTCGGAAAGTTAATAGTTTTCGAGATACAGGGTGTCACAGTGTAACTAATATTTTCCTTTATTTTTAATAGATTCTAAGCCAGTTTTACTATGACCATAAAAATTGTGTTTGGGAGTTTTTTAGATCGACAAATCCAAATTTTGTATTACGTAGCTTGTAGATCCTAGAGAGCGCTAGCTATAATAGTCTGGAGCCATCAGACTATTATGGCTCCATCAGGCATTATGGCATCATCATTAAACATCAGAATTTGAGTTTTAAAAGATCGCTTTTTTGCCATGTTTCGTTCTGCGATACTTTCTAAACAAAAAATGTGGACTTCACCACACCATCACCTTCTCTCACCTTTTTCGAGATATTTCAGATTGAAACCTATACTGATTTTTGAACGAAGTAATTCAAATTGGATCTCTAAATAAAAGAAATATTCTAAACAAATTTTCAATAAAGCAAAACTTAACAAACATTAAACAGTATTTATTTAGGCACCTTCAGAACTATTTTAAACTACTTTTTAAAATCAGCAAAGGTTTGGAAAATTAGTATTTCATAAAAACTGTTGAACCTAAATTACTCTTCGATTAATTTATTAATCTTAAATGCTTGCTGTATTGATAAAAAAAATGTTGTTTGGGAAATCATCTAGCATTTAAAATTATCTTGCGAATAATCAAAAACCATATCGCGCATTTCTCCATTTGAAAATAAATGTCAGGGCATTATCAACAAATTCAAAGTAAAAGTAGAAGGTAAAATATATTTTCTAGCATTTAACTGACTAGAGGTGTGCAAGGTTCCACCGTTGCGGTTCCACTTGTATTAGGTTTCAAAATGCGGTTCTAAAGTAACATGTTACTTTTTTATATAAACATGTTTTTATGTAACATGTTATTTTCAATTTTTTATTAAAAATTTGCAATGATAATGGTACAAACAGTGATGATTAATAATGATTTAGTTAAAGTAAAAGACTGATAATAAAATAGAATGGTGTAAATAAAATATACGCTTTGCATGCGAATATGTTTAAAAAGCTAATTTTCATTTAAAAATAAATTCATATTAAATAATTTTTTGGCGTATGCTTTTTCTAAGGTAGTTCTTCGCTCGTTTATGACAGTACCGTTGGAAAATAATCTCTCGCATGGACTAGAAGTACTAATTCACCTGTGTTTTTTGGTCCATTCCAATCCAATTTGAGTTCACACATCAACATCACTAGATGTTTCAATGTGAAATATTTCGAAAAGGGTCAGATATATCAACTTGAAACAAGTACACATTTTAGATATTTCCTAAATACTAGGAAATTTGAATTTGTCGTTCTAAAAAACTCCCGAAAACTGATTTTCATGGTCCTGGCAAAACTAGTTAAGAGTATGAAAAATAAAGGAAAATTTTGCGTATCTCGGAAATTAGTAACTTTCAGATAAGACAAATTTGCATAAAACGCAACATTTTTGTCTAAACTCTGTCAGTGAATTTTGTCACATTAGTTGTGGACCACTCTGTATATGTAAGTAGAAAACCTAAAATAATAACAAAAACATTAAATTTTGTTGGACATTTTCAGCGATCTAAATATTCAAAAATATTTCCGTTCTTAGTGCATCCCCACAGAGTAAAAAAGGAAAACATATAATTTGTGAATATTTCGTTTGCCTTGTTACTCAAAACAGTTTGAGCATTTGCTTATTGTTATGCTATTAATTACGTGTGTCTTATTAGGTCGTACCTACTCTCAAACTTATCTTAAATCTAAATACTTTTAAATCCGTTGTTACAGACAGTTTTTAACAATAAAAGATAAATATGATATTGCAAAGCATCGGGTAATATTTGAAGAAAAAGTACAATTTTATTACTGGCGTCCGTAGAATTCCAAAAACCGGTGTCAAGCATAGAGGCCTGTATTTGAAAAAATTAGTTGATGATGGTGACCCCCAAACGAAGTATTAAAATCTAAATCTGATTATATAATTTTGTAGAGAGAAAGAAAAATACAAATTAATTTCACCAAATTTCGGTTTTTTCGAATATTTCTGGAAGTAGGAGGAATTTCCCAATGATTACAACTGCATACATCCGTTTTTTTTTTTAATTTCTCAAGTTATACATTGATAGAGTACTAAAGCTTTCAGAGTGTAGTTTCGTTTTATTCGCGCTTACCTATTTAGTTTCTATAAAACACCTTCAAACTTCCAAGCTACAGAATATTTAGCGATTAATCAAACTTGGCCTTAAAATATTTAAGAGTTTAGTACTGAGCTAATAACTCGTAACATGAAACTTTCCAGGAAATGTCCAGAATATTGTGGACCCTTCTGGGGACAGTTAAAAACCAGAAGCAGCTAATGGTTTGTGTGACCCTCCTATACCAAATCCATAATACGTTCGATAACAAGCTTTTCGTTGAGAATGTGATTGGTCAATGTCTGTCTGATGAACATGTGACTGCGTCCTACATAAAACAGTTTTGTATGCTGTGGCATTTGGGTCGAGATCTTACTATCAAGCTGCCGCCAACTAAGAGCTGCACCAGAAGTTTCGACAGGTGACTAAGAAAATTGGGAGGATTAGCAATAGACTTATTTAAAAAAATATTTTATTGCAGGTCCTTGTTAAAGCTCCTGGATATGTTGCAATCTAAAGAAAAACCCGCTATTCAGTTGCTCGCTAACTCCTTTCTAACTCACAGTCTGTTGCAGAGCGACATTCCACGAATACTGAATCCCATTTTATTAAAACTGCTCGCTACTAACACAGCAAGGGTTTCAATTAGACACGTGAACATCCAGGATGGAGACGTCCAAAACGAACAGACTGACCAAGACAATCAGAAATTGGAAGAATCTCAAACAAAAAAAATTTACGCGGTCAGCAACGTTAATGGTAAGACAGCTTTTTAAATTGAAATCCTTACAAAAATCACTTTTTATAGGCAACGTGATGTACCATGTGACCGACAGTCCCAGACCGAAATCGCCCAAAAAGAAGTGGTTTACTTTCTCGAAAACCGGAAAAAAATATGCATCGGCTATCAATATGGCAACCATCCTGATGGAAGACACCAACAGCATCGTGACCAAGAAAAACAAGAACTTCAAAGAATACACTGTATTGCCCGTTTTAGACCCACAGGCGAAAGGAAATGTTAAGTTAATCATCAACCCTCTAAGCGTCAAGGAAATCTACCCGATAGGGTTGGAAGGTTCATATGCTCGGAAGACTTCGCACAGCTCTTTAGAAAGTTTGTCGAGCAACGACAATACTATCAGTAATGATGATTCAATCGACAGGAAAATATACGGGAAATCAGAATCATTGCCGGGTATGTAATTTTAAACGCTTAGGCCAGGTTTAAACACTGATAACTGCCAAGACAATTACTTGATCAGGTACCAGATAAAAATGTCTTGTTTCATCCCAACTTATGTGTGAGATAACAAACACACTGCATTGGTGACGTTTTTCCAGCGAAAGGAAGCCTGGAAAAGTTAATGTCTAAAATTAAATGCTGGATTTAGTCCACATTGGAAGCAGAAGAATTGAAAAATGAAAATACGTTCCATATGGCAGACGCGGATTCATGTTTTCAAAACCTTTTTGTTGCCCATTTTGCCTCAAAATCATTTTCCTTTAAAAACACGAATTTTTTCGTCACGTTTTCTATTACTAAGTTTCTCTTACACTTGTAGACTGCGTCCAGTTAACTTCGTTAATCGATTCAGAATATTTTTTTTTTTGATAAAAGAAGTAATATTTGCGTATGGCACTAAAGAGTCACAGCTTCACATCCAAAGAGCTGCAGATTGCCGACCCGCTCTAGGTAATAGCTCTTTCTATCAAGAATAGAATTTGTCTCTATTGTGAAACCAGAACAGTTTTATTACTCTATATCAGAAGACGTGAGGAAATTCTGTCTTTTTGAAAGAAAACATTTTGAGGCAAAATACCCAACAAAAAAGTTTTGAAGTATGAAGGAGTGAAAATTTAGTTAACACCCTTCTTAGGCGAAACCATCTCTTAAATTCTGCATCGTCCAAAGTGCTAAAATGGTCCACATGTCTTTTATTGCACTCTTGTATTATATGGTTTTCGACTCATTAGATTTTCAAATTTGTTAACTGCTTTTGCTAGAAAAATTTCCCCGAAAACGTCAGTAAACTCCAATGTAGTAGCAGAATAATTTATCTGCCAAATACGCAAGGTATCAGCCGATTTGTATTCGTCATAGCGTGAACATTTGCTTGTCTTTTTGCTCCGCTTGTTATCCGCCAGATTTCGTTATCAGAAAGTGAATTATCGGCCCTTAAACTTCTCATTAAAATAGTAAAAATTGGATATTTGCAGGTGATCGTGATAGTGGCTACGATTCCTTGAACCAGCAAAGAAAACAGTCGGAAATCCTCAGCGCTTTAGTGGACAATGGCAAAAAGGCCCTTCTAGAGAGCATGGAGCCGATATCGAATGGAATAAAAACAGTGAAACTGCCAAAATCCCGAAGTTTTGACGAAAAAAGCAACATCAAGCCAGACGAAAATTCTCTGGTTCAAAGTTGGTCGTATTGCATCTCGGATTCAGCTAATTTACATGGAGAACTCGAGCTGAGCAAGAGCGCAGAAGAGTTCTTTAGAGGCAAAGATAAGGAATATGCAATAGTGACGGGAATTCTTAATAAAATTCTGGATGATGTATGCCAGAAAGTAGATGGCGATAGTTTGGATCCTGATATTCCACATTTTTCAAGCAGACCAAGCGACCTGGACTTGAGAAATAAAATCAACACGTCCAATTCAAAAAACTTTGTTTTATACCCGATACATTCGCACATATGTTTATACTATGAGCTCTTTGATTCGAATCAAGTGATGTATGCTTTACATACTCTGAAACATTGCATCCTGTGTAACCCGCAGCTTTTCATTAAATGCTCAGCCACCAGCGGGATTAAGAACATGAAAAATAATGACATTCTCTACCTGTTAGCCAGGCACAGGAAAAGTCTTTTAGGACAAGGGTTTAATGGCGAATTGACCACCGAACATATCAACTTTTACAGAGGCTACATGTTCTTGGATGTCATTTTATCGGTGTGTCTGAACTATGCTCGAACGTTTTTTCCATTTTTGGACGACTCAAGTCCAATGCCAGACGAAATGGAAACCAACATTAAAATCCAATTAGAGGCCTTAGACATTTTGAACACGATAGTAAAAAATCTGATCACGATGATCGAGGAAAACTGCAATAAAGGATTTTCTAGTTATATTGCTGATCTGTTGGTCAAGTGTAAAATACAGAAGACTTTACTGCACTGCTTGCTGACTTCTGTAAGAAATTTCGACGAAGATATGACTTTTGCTGAGGATATTTTACTGTTTAATAACTTTCAACTATGCAACTCGGAAAACAGAATGGGAGAACATGTGGAGGCGTTCCAAATCCAACTCTTAAGGCAAGTTTTTGGGTATGTCGCTTCTCGATTGATATTAAGTTATTTTTTCATCTGCAGGTTAATTCATTCTTTGATAATACTGGAACACTCGGTGTTCCCTTCAACAAAACCGACAGAACAGGCAACGCCCGAACCTAGTGGAGGGTCCATTAATGGAGAACACCTTAATTATACGCCCACTGTTTTGATACCCAAGCAAGCCATTTTTCTATCAGCTATTTTAAGCGCGCTGAGGAACGAAAATATGCGAAGCATGCATGAGAAGTGGCTGAATATGGTTACTTGTTGTCTGCCATATTTCGGAGATAATTTGAAGCAAATTTCCATTAGTGTGATTCATCAGGTAATGTTATTCAAAGTTGCGATTAAAGATATTCAACTTCTGCATAAGAATAGTTTTGTGTCAAAGCTATTTTGCTGGTTAGAAAAAATGCTGTTCGTCCCGGACCTTTTTCTCAGAAGCTAAGATCAAAACAGCACTTTCAAATTTCGCATTTCATACATTACAGGATATTCTACTGTTGACTGATTTAAAATAGGATAAAATGTTCAATCAATTTTCTGAAGATTACGATTTCTGGCAATATTTAAGGTACGGTTTCGGTGGTGCGATTGGAGATTGCGACTGGGTGCTGCGTTTAACTCTATCTTATAGAGAATTTCATCATAACGAACAAACTTATAAGTACATATACATTTTTCTCCAAAATGCATACTTCCCGAGTTATATGTGATTGTTTCCGAAAAAAGCGCGATTTGCCCAATTTTTTTTCTATTTTTCGTTGTTGAATGCCTCGATATTTTGAATACGTATAGGTACTATTCCCGAGCGCTTGCAAAAGTGATCTAAGTGATCTAATCTGTAACCCTCCTGGCCTAGATTTACTTAAAAAGGCTCCAAGCCTGCAAAAAAAAGTATTGAATGTTATTTATTGATGCAAAAAACCAGTCTTGATCCATTCTGTATTTGTAGGGGTCTTGGGAATCAAAGATTGAACAGCAATAAATCAAATTTAATAAGACAAATAATAATAATAAAATGTTTGTAGATTTGCAACAATATCGAAGAAATCGCCACAAACTACAAAAAAACCGATTTAGATGACTTTGAATTAAGCGCCGACTACACAGTGACCCAACTAGAATCTCTAACGATTTTGTGCCATTACTGTCTTTTGGATGCTTCGCAAACAGTTAACCAAAACGTTCCTGCTTCCACATCGACTTCCGCTGTCTCAAACCCGGGGGAAATTCTAAATAATTTAGTAAATGTGTTTTTCTCGCCGTTGAGTTCCGATATAAATTTTTCCGCTAAACAAAACTCGGATCATTATCAGAACGCCCGCAAAACCATACTGAGTCACATGCCAAGGATTATATCCAGTGTGGCAAAGTTATGGCAAACTGTTGTTGGTATGTAAGCAATCCAAATACGTAAATATCCTTACTGAGGAAAATTGTGAATTTTTTTCAGCAATGGAGATTGAGTTTAATAGTGTTTATGGCAACTCAAAGGTGGTAAAACAGCAACTTTTGGAATTTTTGAGTCCAATAGCTGTGCATCATGGGGCCAGTTTTCTGTCCGCAGTAGCGGTCGCTTGGTATGAGCGAAGAAACCCATTTACTAGTGTTAAAGCTGTAAGTTTCTTTTTTTTGTATAGATTTATAGTTTATGGGCAATGAACTTCGTTTCAGGTGTTACCAGAACCTAACGCCGGCCAAAACAACCTAGTATACCTAATATCCGCCATTAGAGTAATTCCCTTAGATAATTTAGTACAAACTGTGACTGCTGTGATAAAACACCCTCCTCCTTGTGAAGGTCTTAGTTCCGATATTTGCCTAGACGTATCAATTTTAGAGTTATTTTATTGGTAAGAATCGCTGAAATGTTCGCATTGAAAGTCATTGATTTGGTTTTATTTTGCAGTTACATGCGTAATGCATCCGCTACCCAACTCTCAGAAGCTTGGAGCTCCTTGTTGGCACTCATCAGAGAAGTGAACGTTCTGAGTCCATCTGCGCAGTTCTTATTAGCAGCCATCCTGCACGAAATGATGATTAAGTGCTGCCCATTAGAGGAGAAGAAAGACCAGAAGGATCTTCAAGATGTAACAACTAAGGTTTGTTTTAAAGTTTCATGATAAATAATTGGAAAATTATTTTTTGGCTAATTTTAGCTTATCGACTGTGTGTCCCAAGTTTGCGGTTCCTGCCTCGAGCAGACCACTTGGCTGCGACGCAATTTTGCTGTTCGCGAACAGGATGAAGATTCCACCCCTGAAAATAGCATAACAAACGGAGCTCCTTCGAGTGATTTAATTTACAACTCCAGTCATAGCGTGCAAGCACAATTAGTAAGAAAGCTGGCAATTTCCTGGTTGAAATTTATTTAATGTTGTTTGTAGACATTGTCAGAAATCTTGGCCCCAATCCTGGACATTTGTTTTGGATCATCCGAAAAGGACAAAGTGAACAATATTCTGGCCTCTTTAATGTGCAACATCGTGCCCTATCTTAAGACACACACAGTCAAGAATATGCACAGTTTTAACGCCTGTTCGAAACTTTTATCCAGTCTAAGCAGCTACCAATATACTCGCAAAGCTTGGAAAAAGGACGTATTTGACTTGCTCCTGGACAATAGTCTCTTTCAGATGGATTATGCCTGCTTGAAGTACTGGAGGATAATTGTAGATAATTTGATGACTCATGACAATACGACATTCAGGGATTTGATGAGTAAGAAGTGATTTCCAGGTAGTTTTTTTTTTACTTAAATGCAACTATCTCTTAGATCGAGTATCAATGACCCAAAGTGGAACTTTGGGAATATTCTCTTCAAGGGAACAAGAGTATGAGCAGAAGGCACAACTTTTGAAAAGACTGGCCTACGTAATATTCTGTAGTGAAATTGACCAATATGCCAAGTATATGCCTGAAATTCAAGGTAGTTTTGCCAATACTATAATTACAATAATTGGAAATGCTAATTGTGTGAACTATTTTCTAGAACAATTAACTTCAAGCTTGAGACTGAACGTTCCTGGAATCCAAGCCCAGGTTTTTATGTGTTTCCGAGTTATCCTGATTCGAATGAGCCCCATGCAAGTGACCAGTCTTTGGCCAATCATAATCAGTGAAATGCTACAAGTATTCCTACAGATCGAACAGGAACTTAGTACCGACACCGAAGAATTCAAGTAAGTGAAATTTATTCAATTATTTGACTGTTTTGGACTTAACAGATTTTAAGATTGGTAGGTGATAGTATTTAACTGTTAAAATCGTTTGTCTAATAAGCCAAAGTAATTTGTTTTCGTTGAATGATTCAATTTTCGACCTAAAAACATGTATTTGAGTTACTGATATTAAATGTGCATTTAATGCAATGTATGTGCAGTCTGAGTTAAGTAGTATTAGGATACTGTTTGCAACTACTAAACTCTTCATGAATTTGGCCAAAAACTAGCTCGGGTTTAGTCAAATGCTTATCCGGCAAGCAGCAGTGGAAATCTCCTCAATTTCTCGTTTTGGCCAAAAGTTGAAGCATTTTGTACATGTAACATTTGTTTAATAATTCTTAACCATAATATTTGTTTTGTGCTTTACGCTGGGTTTGCTGGTTTCTACAGGACAAATAACAGGTAAATAATATTCGTTTTGTTATTTTCCCCATCTTTGCAGAGCATGCTCAAGCGCTTTTATCCTTTATGTTTTACTTTTCCATACAAGCTAATTTTTCTAAACGTTGCACGACTACTAATAGGTACAACCTTTTTCTTGTCTGTCCACTTGTACTTTATTACATTTTTCCATGTTTCATGTGTTTTACTTTTGATTCAGTTACGTTGATTATTTTTCTATTTACATGGAAAACACTCAATCGGATTGTTTCACATATAGCTCTCACATCAAATTGCTGTCTTCATTGGACGCAAGTTGGACCACTAACAGTAGCAATGGATTACATGCCTTGGGCCATCCCCATTGGCTTCGATTACAACTGGCAACAGGAAAACTTTTGGATCTAGCACTTCTGTTACCCGCTACCACTTTGCCGCAATTTCAAATGTAAGTAAATTGAAACAAGTGGGTTTTTCGGGTTTTTAGGCCGTCGTTCGGTAGAATTTCTTCTTGACGTTTCGCAAGCACGTGTGGCTTGCATCTTCAGAAGTGGTTTGCTTGAACGCTTACACTGTTCTGATCACGTACATTTACACTGTATCAGAACAACACATCATCAGAATAGTGTAAGCGTTCAAGCAAACCACTTCTGAAGATGCAGGCCACACGTGCTTGCGAAACGTCAAGAAGAAATTCTCCCGAACGACGGCCTAAAAACCCGAAAAACCCACTTGTTTCAAGGAATGGCCTCGAAAGTCTATCTCTTTTGTAAGTAAATTGTACATTTAAATTTTTACTTAACTAGTAAGCGCCAAAACTTTAAAATACTCCAAAAATTTCAAACAATCCACCGGGAAACGGCTTGAACAACAGGAATTTTTAACTGTTTTTTTTTTACAAATTTTTGCTAACAAGTTATAATTTTCAGGTTTTTGCAAATGCATGAGAATGAAGACTGTTTTACCCAAATTTGAAAAAAAAATAAACACTCGAAAATTCGCTGTTTTCAAGTAGTGCTGATTTGCTAGCATATAGGAAGCGCGGGTTTGAGACTGGATTAAATACTCCTTTTATTCTCTTAAGAAGCGTGGACCCGTAGTACATTTTTAGAAAATAAAAAATGTTTAATCCTGTCCCAAACCCGCGCTCCCAATATGCTGGCAAATCAGCACTATTAGACTTGAAAAAAGCGAACTTGAGTGTTTCTTTTTTGCAAATTTGGGTAAGACAATCTCCATTCTCATGTATTTGCAAAATCCTGAGAATTGGTAGCTCTTTTTAGCAAAAATTTGAAATAAAAAACGGTTAAAAATTCGTATTATTCAAGCCGTTTCCCGGTGGATCGAAGATAAGTAATCGGTTTGAAATTCTGGACTGTTTTCTTTGCAAATTTTGACAAAAACATGTACCATTATTATGTCATAGAGAAAACCTGTGAATTATAATTGGTTTTACAAAAATAAAAATAAAACAGTTAAGAATTTGTGTTATTCAAGTCCAACAGTTGTCATTGCAAGCATAATTGGATAGCGGGTTTGGGACTGCATTAAACATTTTTTTATTCACTAAACATGTCCAACGGGCCGACGTTTCTTACAAAATAAAAGAAGAATTTAATCCAATCCCAAACCCGCTATCCGACTATGCTTGCAATGAGAACTATCGGACTTGAATAACACAAATTCTTAACTGGTTTTTTTTAGTTTCGTAAAAACAATTGTAATTCTCAGGTCTTTGCAAGACATGATAATTGCACATTTTTGCCAACATTTGCAAAGAAAACAGTTCAGAATTCAAACCGATTACACTTATCTTCTATTTACCGGGAAACGGCTTGAACAACACAATTTTTTAACTATTTCTTATTAACAAATTGTTTCTAAAAAGAGTTACCAATTCTTAGGTTGTTGCAAATGCTGAAAATGATGACTATTTTACCCAAATTTGCAAAAAAAAAACACGCAAGAATTCGCTTTTTTCAAATCTAATAGTGCTGATTTGCATATTAGGAGCGAGGGTTTGGGATTGGATTAAAAACTCCTTTGATTCTCTAAGAAGCATCGAACCGTAGGGCAGTTTTAGAGAATACAAACGTTTTTAATCCAGTCTCAAACCCGCTATCCAAATATGCTTTCAAATGAGGACAATTAGACTTGAATAACCCAAATTATTCACTGTTTTTTTTATTTTCCTAAAAACAACATAAAACTGAACTAAGATTTGCATATCTGAGACGGTTCTTTGGAGACAAGTTTGAGATGAGATTGATGTAAAAATACAAAGTCGCCCAAAATATTTTCAAAGTTTGCAAATTTGTTGTGAACCAATGAACGGTTTAATCGGAACCAAATCCGCTCAGTAGGCAAATAAGTAGTAGGCTGATGCTTCTTGTATTGAATGACTGGAACACAAATTTCCATATCTGTAGCGCTTCTTTAGCGAAAAGTTTCAGATGAGCTTAATATAAAAAGACAAAGCCGCCCAGAATATTCCCAAGTTTAAAAATTAACTACGAAGGAATTAAAAGCTCAATCCATGCCAAATCCGCCCTACGAGTCAGTTGATAAATATGGGACTCAAAATTCTACATGTACATGCCAACCAGGGGCAAAGCAGTGCTAAACTTACCGAAAGCTGCGTAGTGCCACCTTTAAAGAAAGAAGAAAATGTGTTTAGTACATCAGGAAATCTCTCCAAAGCCAAACTTATTTGAAATTAGTAAAGCAAAGGGAGAGTAATATAAAGAATCTATAAAACTTCAGTTGCTTGTCGGAAAACTAAACTCAGTTCAAGCTATAAGACTTATAGATTAGATATCATTCTTACCCGCTTTCTGCAAGCTGGTGCCCCATTTTCCATTTTCTACCCATTAATCTTCAACAAGTTCACTACACTTTCACAAACTACCGCGCTTGCCATAAGGGCCACAATGATTCTATATTTCCTCTCTAATAACTCGATTCACACTACAAATAATGATCGACCAATTTCGAACACTGTCGGTAGCAAACTGAATATACATCTTTTCGAAAAAAGACACCGAAGTACAGAATAAACATAATTATTTAATCATTTGCGGGTTCGCCCTTTGGATGAATCATGCTTTACTGGCAGTTCGATTTCAGTTTGTTTATTGTTGACATTTTTGTAAAAAGTGCGTGTTCGCATTGCAATATTTGCACAGGCAAATTTCACGTGCCAACTAAACGAAAAACGCTCCAAATGCCGATATTTCACTGATTTAATTTTAGTTTTAATAAGTTAGATTCATTTATAATTTCACTCAGCTGCAGCGCTTAATGCACAACAAGCCAAAACTAAAATTAATAACTGAAGTAATTTTGCTCTTCTAACAATATCGACTAAACCAAAAAACCCCGAAGAAATCACTTAAAAATTAAACTGTTGCTCAATTTTCGCGCGATGCTAATTAAGAAAGGCAAAAAATTAAAGTTACTATGATTTAGAAGTGGAAATCGATGGAATCCATTTCCACCTTCTAGTCTTGTTTGATTTCTTGTTCGGATGATACCGATGAAATGATTCTCTTTATTACTAAGGAAATGGAGTTAGTAGTATAAAAACTCCTTTTATTCTCTAAGAATGACCGTCGTTTCGACTATTTCGAGATAATGTAAGGAAATTTTCACACAGTTAATGCCTTCATTTTCATGCGGGTCGAGGATAAGGAACCGATTAGAATTCTGGACATTCTGGCGTTTTCTTTGCAAATTTTGGTAAAAATAAATTCAATTATCATGTGATTGCAAACACTTTAGAATTGTAATTGTTTTTACCAAAATACAGCGAATAATTTGGGTTGTTCTAGTCAATAGTTCTCATTTTGATAAGAGAAACTAAAATAACTAAAACTCTGATATCGTAGAAATAATCTGGTCAAAATAATCCCAGGAATGAAAAGTCGCAATATATATTTAAATTTTAGGTACCGATGGGCATTTGTCGGAGACGATTTGATACACAAATCCGAACCCAACAGTCAAGTATCATTCACCCCGCATGTAGTGCGAATAGCCGAACTTATGGACCGCAAGTTTACCGACACACAAATAGATGTTTTACCAATGAAGCGCAATGAGCTGCTCCTCACTATGAACTCTATAACGCAACTAAAGGACTTGCATAGTTTTTTCAAAACGTTGAGCTCCTGCTCGAACCGACACAGAACCGAGTGTAGCAAATCGATTGCTAGCGACAATCTGTTTACAGATAGGCAATCAGATAAGAAGCTCGATATGATTCTGGAGAAGATTGATAAGGTGGTAGAAAGTGACTTTCTGGATAAAATTCCGAGGTAAAAACGGCTTCAGTGATTTAAGAGCTGCATGGAAATGTAAGTTGGAGGATTCGGTAAAGTCATAGCCACAAGGAAAACGTGTTATCACTTGAACAATATGATGATGAATCTCTTGCTTTGTTTCGTAGAAACTCACAATATTTAGGCATCCTTACACGCGTCCAAGAGCTCTCTATTTTCAGAGAGGCAACCTTATTAACAGGGTTATTGGATATTCCTATAAAGATGATAATTAATGAGACACCTTCAATATTCCGTATCAACTCAGCGTAAAAAGCATACATTATATAAAAAATTTGGCATAAGAAGAGCTGGGAGAACAACTAGTACACTCCCAAATTTCTCTGACTGACCAATTCTATTTGAACTAGTTTTCAGCGAATTATAATACTGATGTTTTGCTTCGAACGTACACATTTGATTGTCTCATTAGGTATATTGCTGCGCCACCCTGTATAGATTGTAAAAGCACAAGGCAATCGAACCAATATTGTTGCATCGCAATTTTTCCGAATCATTATTGTAAAAAAGAAGTATACTTTTGGGCCTTTGAATTCATAGCTGACTGACGTTGATCAATAGGTTGTTTTTATTAATTTGCCCAAAGAAATCAGTATTAAATTATTAAATGCCACGCATTTATATAGAATGTGTAATAATGTAACATAGCAACTAGAAAATGATTTTTTAATAAACTACCTGTGTTACATGTCTCGTTGTAAACAGGATGATTCAAAAAATGTTTCATCGCCTTTAAGTGGGATTTATTAGATAGCAAACCGGACAGACCCACATATGTTTATATAGAAATGTTCAATTGGTCATAAATTCTACTCTACGAATGTGTAAAAAGAGTTCACTCGCATCAAAAATAAATAAGTTTAATAAATGTAACTTTTCGATTTTTAGAATCTCAAACCAAAACCCCTTAACTACTAACATCTGTCCGGTTATATTACTTAATTTCAATCTCCTTTGAGCCATTAGCGGCATTGTCAATTATATTATTCTTATCAATGAGAATCCCCTTAATGACCACTTTTTGAATCGTCCTATACAAATGTTTGCAGTTGAATCAGTCTGATCATAACATTTGAGCATTAGTTGAGTTCCGCGAACTCTGTTGTGTAAATTTCAAAATATTTCTTTAAAATAATTTTTTTTAATTTATTTTATATTAGCTAATGTTTTAAGGTCGATTAAACACGGCATTTGTTACCCTTGAGCAAGGAGCACAAGTGCATTACTTATTTATTGTACACTTATGTATTAGTTAATGTTCTTGGAGTTCCAACCAATATTCCCATTTATTAGCCTTGCGTAAGGAACATAGGTGCAATTTTACTACAAATGTAAACATTTATATATAAAAATGTGATTTTATATTGTGATGTAAAAAATCAGGCTTTATTGCCTTGGTTATTATTTGTTGTAATTATTTAAAGTGAATAAATATGTTTTGGTAAACACGTTTTTTTCTGGAAATTCCAAAAGATAGATAAGTTCTATATTGTTGAGGTGGATTCATTTTTTTACAAACTAGAGTATTTCGCTTCAAAAATTTTTGTCTTTAAAAAAGACAGAATTTCAAAAATTTTCATTATCCAAAAAGATAATAAAAAAGCAAGAAAAAATGTTTTTTTTCCCGTGGTTACTCGAGTAACAGTCATTAGGGGGTTTAAAACTATATAACTGTTTAGAAAATTTTTATTAATAAAACAAAAAATGACATTTACAACAATTCTACGGAACGTAATTCAACTGAAATGACTTGATCATTTAACTGTAAAAGTGAAGTTGATCGAAATACAATTTAATTTTTACAGTTGAATTGACATTATTGAATATCCTGTTGTGAAAGTGCTAACTTTGAGCCATGCAAAGAATGAATTACGAAACTGATACAATTTTACTGTTTACCAAATCCACCCATTAAATTACCCAAGCCTCCAGCCGCTCCGGATTGCAACTGTCTCATCATATTTTGCAAGCCAGCCATCCCACCCATTTGATGCAACACTCTGGGATCCATCATGCGTGCCATTTGTTGATTGAGTTTGGCCATTTGATTCTGATTAACGTTCTTTCCCATATCACCTCCTTTAAACAGTCCCTTAATGCCCCCCATTTTTTTAACTACCGCCGCAAACTTTGTGTATTGTGCGATAAGCTCTTTCACTTCCCTTTCTGCCAGCAATAGTCAATAATTTAGCTTATTTTATGAAAAATTGGTGAAACAAGAATTACCTGTCACTCCCGAGCCTTGAGCTACCCTGACAATGCGGCCTTGTTGCTTTGAAAATACTTTGGCTCCATCTCTGCTGTCCAATTCCCCATCATTCATGCTGTCCATGATTGTCATAAGTTTCTTCAATCTGTACAAAATACACTGTTGCTAGTTACTGTAAGTCCTTGAGAACTCTTGTAATATTACCTGGCCATTGATTCCTGCTCACTGCCTTTAGACATAAAATCTTGACTGAAGCCTGGGATCATCCCCTAATAAAGCACATATTTCGCTATAAATGTTTTATCGCTCTCATCTGGTTTTAGTTACCATAATCTGTGAAAACGGTCCCATTTTCATGATGTTTTGGAACTGCTCGTACATATCCCTCAGGGTAAATTGACCATGCTTGATTTTCTCCAAAAGTTCTTCATTATCTTCAAGCTTTAGCTCATTTACTTTATCTATAAGACCTTCTATGTCTCCCATGCCGAGAAGTTTACTTATAAAGGGCTTAGTTTTGAATGGCTCTAAATCATCTATGTGCTCTCCAACACCGATGAATATAATTGGACTACTGGTCGCGGCAACACTAAAGAAAAAATAGGTTTAGATCCTCCAGTTGGGTTCAATTAAAGCACTTACGCGCTGAGTGCTCCTCCACCCTTTGCGTGACCATCAAGTTTAGTAATAATTACAGATCCTACATCTACTTTTGCCTTAAAAGCTCTAGCTTGCTCTTCGCACGCTTGTCCAATAGTGGCGTCCATAACAAACACTATATTGTCTGGTTTCTGAAATAATCTGAAGATGTTGATAAATTCCTGGTAAAATGGTGATCGTTACTTACAACGGCATTGGAAACTTGTAACATTTCCTCAAATAGGGAATCTTCCTGTTTATGTCTTCCACTTGTATCTACAATTATAATTTCGAAATGTTCCTTTTTGAACATTTCCACACCGTCTTGGGCTATGATTACAGGATCGACTTCAGTATAACTGAAACACATTTTTAAGGATTTTGATTTTTAAGGTTTTTGGAAAACCGGTCAACTTCACCTTCCATAAAACGGTATTCTGGCTTTAGTACAATTTTGTTTTACTTGATCGTAAGCACCGGCACGAAACGTGTCGGCACAAACCAAGCATGATTTCCAGTTCTTTTTCTGGTAGTAATAGGCCATCTTAGTACACGTGGTGGTTTTACCAGATCCTTGCAAACCAACAAACATGATAATATTCGGCTTTCCTTTCACAGGCTGAAATGGCTTAACACTTGGATCTACAAGCTAATAGAAACATTTCATTTAGTTTCTGTAGGACTTGAAAGATAGAAATCTCTTTATAGTCTGCATTCTTATGGTAACAAGATTTAGAACTTTGCCTTTGCTGCTTTCCGTAAAAATAAAAAAGCGCTGATACTAAAACTATAGGAAAAGCGGTCTTATACTTGACTTGAAATTCCATGCATTATGCACAGATGACACACAGTGTTTCATAATTAAGTGTAAATAATTTAAGGGCGAGTTAGAGGAAGTCATTCTAATAAAGTTGGAAGTCTCCTACAGAAATAATGGACCTTTAAAAAAATGACCAAGTAAAATGTTTTCTTGTTTGGTTAATGAAAGATGTTCCATCTTATAACTACACTTTTTCTGATCTTGAAGGAAGAGCGTTAAAAATTTGTCGACAACGATAACATATTAATGAACATTGCATGTCCGATAAATTCCTAAGAATAGTCGCCTTCTCTATTTGACTACTAAAGCAATTCAAACAGCGAGAAAGTTCAATAAAAATTGTAAGCTGTTTCTCTTTGATAACAAAGTTAAATAGTTTGCGAAACCCTAAACAATAATAATGCAGTCAAAGGTTTTTTTCAGTTTTTTATCTTACAGTATCTTCCATACGGTGTGCGCACTACAAGGTGTGGTTTGGAACTTAGCAATGAGTCGAGGAAACATACAGATTTTGAGCGATTTGCATAAAATTCTCTACAATTTTGGCATCAAGTCTATAGGTGTCCGAATTTCAGCTTCCGATCTGCTCTGGGTTGGAAGTTATGAATTTTTAAGGAAGGCTTGAAGTTGCTTTCATAAGATACGCAATTTTCAGCTTGCTGTTTGCACACTTGCACGGATTTTTAAACGAGAGCGTCTAGTCAGTCATTCATAAGGTTGTCAAAAATCAGAATGTTGGGCGATTTGCGAAAAATTTTTAGAGATCTCAGTTCCAAATATCTTCTATAAGGTATACCAATTTGAAGTTGCTACCTGCTCTTGCTTTGAAGTTATGAATTTTTAAAGAAATGCATGCAATTGTCCGATGCGGGTGAATTTTCAGGGTTTTCAATTTCAGCTTTCTGTCTGCACGCAAATGAAAGTTACGCGTTTTTAGTTGAGTTGACAGTTTGAAGGAGTGTACAGTTAGGGTGTGCGAGTTTAAGCTTTCTGCATGTATTTGAATCGAAAATTAAATTTTAAAGAAGAGTGTGCGGTTAGACTATTAGATAGCTTTTATTTTAGGTCCATTATTCATAAGGTTGCCAAAAATCAGAATCTTGCGCCATTTGCAATATGTGTGAAGAGCGCGAGTGTGCCAATTTAAAATTGCTCCCTATTCTGGATTCGAAATTATGAATATTTAATTAAAGTAGAGCATGCAGTTTTTGGAAAATGAATTTGGTCCATCATTCATAGGTATGACAAAAACCAGGATCTTCCTTGGTGAAAATTTCAAGGTTCTCAAACTCAAGTGTTCTTTAGGGTGCGCGATCTTGAAGTTGCTACCTGAACTGGCTTGGAAGGTAGGAGATTTTACAGAAGCGCGATGTATACACTGTGCGAATTTAAAGGAAGGCGTGCAGTTGGGCGAAATTGTTCATTTTAGGCCCATCAGGTTTCCAAAAATATAGACCTTGTGAGATTTGCTTGAAATTTTTAGGGGTCTCCTTCAGAATGTGCGATCTGGAAGTTGCTATCTGGACTGGATTGAAATGTAGGAAATTTTAAACAAGCGTGATGATTTACAATGTGTGAATTTAAAGCTGCTGCCTACTCTGGATTGAAAGTTAACAAAAAAATATTTTTTAAAGGCGTGCAGTTGGCAGAAAATGTTAATATTCGGTTCATCATTCATAAGATTGCCAAAGGTCAGATTCTTCCGCGATTTGAATGAAATTCACGGGTACTTAGTCCCAAGTGTGTTCTATGGAGTGTGCGAATTTCTAATTACTACCTGCGCTGGGTTAAAAAATAAAATTGTTAAAGGATGAGGTGCAGTTGGGTGAAAACTTAATTTTTGCTACATTATTTACAGGGCTGCCATAAGTCAGAGGCTTACGCTGTTTGATAAACATGTGTAAATATGATCATCAATAAACTTTATAAATCATATTCTTTTTGACCCTTTTTGACTAAACCAAAATCTACCAGAAAGTCCCTGTTTCCTAATCACGTTATCACTTGGAATAGATTTTTTTCTAAAACACTGGAGCTTTTAAAATTACTAAAGGCTTAGCTGAAAAGGTGCTGAAACTCTTGCCCCCATTGCATAGACGTAAATAAACCTCACCTTAACAAGTTCTTTAAACACTGCGCTCTGTATCATGCGTCTCTTATTGAGGCCCCCTGCCATTTCATCGAAATCTATAACAGCCCTAACATTTTCTCGTAGGGCTTTGACCATTTTGACGTTGACGTCAGCCTCCAATAGGGCTGCACATATCTCCTTGAGCATTCCATTGAGGACCTACAAGGGTGGAAAAGGGGCACAATATTGTAATTAAATGGTCTTTGAGGGGCAACCTAACCTAGAAAAACATCTGGAAGTACTCACATCTTCGTTGATAATCGTTGCCTTGCTCAAGCCATGCAAGGCAGACGTAATTTTACGTCCCAAATCGGCTAAAACCATTTTGGGGCTCTACGTGTTGCTGATTTTCGAAAAAAAATACTTTTAATGTTTATTTTTTCATGTCGTGTATTGTCAACCATAGATAAAGACGAGTGTTGTCAACTTAGTAAACTAAGCAATGTTGCCGGAGCAATTGCCCATTTTTAGTAAGAGGGATACGTATGTCTTCGAAAAACTCGTCAAAGTAACAGTTTGTACTTCGGCGAAGAAATCTTACTTTAAGGGTATCAGATTCATCATCAGCTAAGGGTATGGTTGTAGTTTCCTGTCCCAATTTAATAAAATTATAATAAATTTACGATTAACAGGCGCTGCAGGTTGACTATTTGCGAAAGCTTGGCAACGTAACGACACGTTTTTTGCAGACGTCATAAGCATAGATAAAGACGAGTCATAAGCAGTAGAAAATTTCTCAGTTGTTCGCGACTTCAAAAGTCTATGCGCCCCCTCGTGGCTGAAATTTTAACTACAAGTTAAGTAATCATTGGACACTTGTTTTGTTGTCATTGGTGTTTACATCTAATTGTCATTTGTTTTCTTCTAATCAAGTTTTGCAAGCTTTTAAAGAAATAGAAACAGATCGAAAAGAGTGTAAGTATTGATTGGTAGCAATTAGAATTAAAATCAGTTTTGACACATTTTGAACAGAAATGTGTTCGTTTTTAATTTAAAATTTTTATTTAAAACTTAAACTTTGCTTCGGTTTCTATTATATATTAGTGATTGGCTTTTTCTCAAATAAACTATGACATTTTTTGACTATTTGTCTTTGACATTTTCCAAATTATTGTATGTATCAAATTAGTGAAGTATTGTTTAAAACAAAACAGACATACCAACCCCCACATAGTTTCTATTAGTTTAGATAGAGCACCAAAGATGGCGGGCTAGTTAGACGAGTGGAGTTGGCCATCTATCTATCTCACTCCTATCTATGTCAAATCGCAGTTTGTTTGACAACTAGCGGAAGGATCAAGGCTACTCCTTTTTCCATGACTTCCACAACTAATTAATTAATAACGCACTTAATTAGTGTTGAACATGCGTTATCTATCGCTTATCAGTTAATAGTACCTTAACAACATGTAATTTATCCAGGTAATTAAGCTTTTCATTTAATTAATCACTTATTATTGAGTTTCTAATTTCAGTGCAGTGCTAAGTCCTAAATATCTAAACAATGTCCGGTGGGGAGAAGAAAAAGAGGGCTACCCGATCTCAGGGCTGGGAGGAAGCAGGCTCGGAATTTTACCAGGAGAGCTATCCGGGAGACGGTGACATGGAAGTGCTCTGGAAAGACCCCAAACGATTAGCCACCTTATTACCTAGTAAACAAACTAGAGCAGGTTTGTGCCTTTCGATCACTTGAATCTACATTGCTCTCATCTTAGTCATTTTCAAATTAAATGTCTTTTTAGTTGGCGCAACTATTCGTCTAAGGACTCAAGATAACAGAACCAACAAAAGTACTGTTCGTCGTCACACGGTAAATAGATCACGAAGAGATTCAACTGTACATCGCAGAACTTCCACTGTGGGCATTGATGTGGGCGATGACTCTATGCTACCTGATCTTTCTCAAATGCGGTAAGAATTAAGCAAGTGATAATCGTAGTTTCTAATGAAATACCTTTAGGTCGAATGAAGAGACTGCTTGGGAGGAAATAATGAAATTAAAAGAATTGCCCATTCCAATGGCAAAGAAAAAGGAGGAAAAGGCGAAAATCATGGTAAGAACCAGATTAATTGAATTTTGTGTGTAGACAGTAGAGTGAGTCATGATCATTGTTTTCTGCTTTGATAAGTTCTATATGCACACTATCTCATTTTTTGGGAAATACCACATTGGATGTTTTAATCTTTAAACTTGAAATGTGTAAACATTCCAGGTAAACATTTGCCTACTGCTCACTTTTCTTAAAACTCTAGCGGAATAAAAAAAAGGCGTGTCGAAATTGTTGAGGAGAGCAACAGCTGCTTAACTCAGTACTTATTATACGCTAATATATAATGAACTTTTTAAACGATTTTGCCAATTATTTAAATACGCTCAAATGGCAGTGTCGTTGTACAAGGGCGATTCCGGTTGAAATCGAAAATTTAGCTATTCTAGTCAAATATATAAAAAAGTTTAATATGCAGCCCCATACGATGTCATCATAAAAAGCGTATTTATTTTTTCTTGCTGCTATCAATTTAATTAAATATTAATTGTTTGGATCATATCAGACCACTTATATCCGAGTTTCACTAAAATTGCCCGCACTTTATTTATAATATTGAATATAATTTCCGTTGGAATCAATAGCAGATAAAATTAATTCTTAATCGCCATTCTCATAGTTAGACTCCTCATTAATAACCAACATTAATATTTGTCAAGTTTTATTATTACTTTCATTTTTATTGATCCTCGCCCTACTCGAAATAATATTCCCCCAATCGATTTGGGAACGAAAAACTTATATAAACAAGTATCGCAGTTTTCCTTAGTATCGTCGATATGACTGAAAATTACCTCTAAAACAAGATTTGCGTTGTGTGCGAAAACTCAGAAGAAAAAAATTGAAGCCTAGCCCTTACTAGATAATTATTTACTCATAGTTTTTTGTTCTAAACCAAAATGTGAATTAACGCATTGCATACTTCTGCAAAATCTCTGGTAAGGGATGGAAACTAGGCAAAACTGCAGTTTGTCAATGTTTATATTTTATTTTTGCCACGAGTGCACTTCGACTAATAACAAAAATAAACCTATAACTAATAACTAAACTAAACCGATAAACTGAGTCCCGATTAATAAAATCAACACATTTTATTAAAAATACCAACAATCTAGTCCGATGCTTAAAATGGACGATATGCCGAATCGACATTATTGCTTTTAAAGAGTGCAGCTTTTTAGAGTATGTTTGCCTTTAACGGTCTCATCTTTTATTCCACCCTTGTAATACTTATGTTTTATATGTTTTTATTGGATACTCATTCTATAGAAGATAGATAGATATCGAAACCTCAGGCCAATCGTTTTCGAGATATTTTCCAAAGCGTTCGCGTTCTGATATTCAAAAGTATGATTTCGTAGTTACATAAAAACAATACAATCGATTCTTATAAACTATAAAACCTGATTTTCACGGTGAATTGATATCTAAATGTCTTTCAATGCTGATCAACCATTTCTTATGAAATATTTCACTCTACTCTACTCTGGAGCCCAATTCATATTTTTGGAAAAACTTCGTCTACAGCGCAGAAAACATGAATGTTAAGATTTTAGGTTTTCGACCATGCAACACTTGCCATAAAAATAACCTTTGTTCTTTAAATAAACAATAACAATTGTCAATTTGGAACAACCTAAGTAAACATAGATACTGTATGAAATAAATTATTTTTTTATTATTATTTTCCTCATAAGAACCTTAAAGATTCATCAGAATATGTAAAGAAACAAAGTGCTCTATTTAAAAATATTACACTAGATAAAATTACACTATTTTTTAACACAAAAAATCTACCAATAATTTCATAAATTAGTTCTTTCGGTGCCTGAAAACATCCGCACCTTAATATTTTTCGATCTATTTAAGGCTAACGCTACCACGTGACCGTGTACAGAACTAGCAAACGACCTGTGTTTATTGTCGCAGATTATTTGAAGGAACAAGGCAGATAATCGAATGCCTGTATTAGAAAAGGAAGAAACAATCTCAGGCCACGCCTCCAGCTATTTTATTTGAATTACAGAAGGGTTTGTTCTTCGTCTAACTCGGGCTTTTATGGTTCTGCACTGTTGCCTTCATACACACGTCTTTAAGCTCACCACATTCAATAACTTAAACATTGTTTATTAAAATGTTTAATAAAATGTGTACATCGTGGGCTTAAAGCTAAAACTAACCAATTTTGAAATATCAATCTTTGGTAAATGCACTTTTAAACCGAGTCAAACATTATATCAGAATCCTTTTGGAAACAAAATGTTTTATTAATTTAATAATTTTCAAACAAAGAAATGGGTAATTTGAGTTAGGCAATTTACCGATAACAATGTCGAATAATTTCTAGAGTGAAGAGCATCTACTTCTACAAGGTTATGAGCAATTCAAATGGAAACGCAAAAAAGCGTGGCACCAATTCACCACCCGAATAAGCGAGTCATATCAGAAAATGGAACTATGGAGGCGAGACCTCAAACATATTGAGGGCCACTTTGGAACTGGAGTCGTTGCCTTCTTTCGATTCGTAAAGTGGTTGTTTTTTCTAAATTTATTCACTTTAGTGTTGGTCTTCTTATTTGTTGTATTGCCGACAATTCTTTTGGATGACCGTGAGATCAATTGCGATGAGGAGAATACGTGTTATGAAAAATACTACTGCAGAATAAATGAGTCAAATCTAGCGTTAAGTATCGTTCAGGGCACCGGGCGACTGGAGAGTAGTCTCCTGTTCTACGGATTCTATCCGAACGAAATTCAAAGTTACACTATTTTAAACAAGAAAATGTATTTTAACTTACCTCTAGCTTATATATTGACCACCATAGTATATTTTCTAGTAGCATTAGTTGCTATAGTTAAGACAGGGTCCAAGGGGTTTAGGGAACGGCTAATTCAAGGTGAAGGCCAGTTTTATCAGTATTCAAATTTAGTTTTCGGAGGCTGGGACTTTTGTATACACAACGAGAAAAGTGCCAATATAAAGCACAAGGCAATTTTTAGTGAACTGAAAGCGCTTTTAGAGGTGGAGCGATTGAAGGAAGAGCGGCAGGGTAGAACGAGGCAGGAGAGATGGAGAATTATATTTTTGCGATTTATAGTCAATTCAATAGTGCTGGCAATATTAACGTTGAGTGGCGGAGCGATTTATCTGGTGTTCAATTATTCCAACCAGATGCTCAACAAGGACAACACTGCCAAAATACTCCAATTTGTGTACGAGTTTTTACCGTCAATGTGCATAGTAGCGTTAAATATCACCGTGCCGGTTATATTTCAATTCCTCATTTCATATGAGCACTACAGTCCCTTAGTGCAGATTAGAATGGCTCTAATTCGCACAGTGTTTCTAAGACTGGCATCACTTTTAGTGTTTTATGCCTCAATGTATGCAAAAATTCGATGCACTAGCCAATTCGATCCGGATGATTGTGCTGGTTGCACTGGCAGAACCAACTGTTGGGAAACTTTCGTTGGGCAGCAAATATACAAATTACTTCTCACCGATTTTGCCATTCAAATAAGTATTACTTTTGTCGTCAACTTCTTAAGGGCTTTTCTGGCTCGACATATTCGCAATAAGTTTATTGCATTCATCGGAGAACAAACTTTCGACTTACCCAAGCATGTGCTTGATGTGGTTTACACTCAAACCTTGTGTTGGGTAGGGATTTTTTTCGCCCCTCTCATGAGCGTAATGGCTTCATTAATCTTCTTTGTGTTGTTCTACGTTAAAAAATTCGCTTGTTTAGTTAATTGCAAACCGAGTGGTACAGTCTATAGAGCCTCTCGGTCTACGTCAATGTTCATGGTAGTGATGCTGGTGTCTTATCCTGTAGCTTTAGCCCCGGTGGCGCTCACCATGTCTGAAATTCCCCCTAGTGTGTCTTGCGGCCCATTCAAGTCGCTCACAACTATTTGGACATTAGTAGAAAACACTTTTCTAGATACACCCTCAGCTGTTCAAAGTATGGTCGGGTTTTTGACTACACCTGCTTTCGCTATTCCAGTGTTTATCCTCCTGATATTGCTCTTGTATTACTATACAGCTGTGAATTCCGCCAATAGGCACATGGTAACGGTGCTCAAGAACCAACTGGTTTTAGAGGGGCATGATAAAAAGTTCTTGATCGATCGGCTTTTGCTGTTCATCAAGCAAGATCATGATAAGAGGTCAAGGCTGGCAAACCATATGGTAGATGGGGATACTATTACAAATACTAGTAGTCTCCAATCTTAGGGTATGATCTAAGAATCATTGGTGTACATAATTTACAAGTCTGTACGATTGTGACCAAATCCTGCTTAAGTTTTGTCATCCATGTAAATGTGATATATCATTAATAGTATAATATATAACAGATTTTATATAGAATTTGCCATTGCTTTAGTGTACACCAGATACCAATTTGTGTTAACGCGATCTCATTGTTCCAATTTTTACACCATAAAGTGTATTAGTTTTAAGTACAAATTCATCATACGTTCAGTTTTTATTAATCCATCCATAACTAGAGTAGATCAAAATTCATTTACAACTTAAGACTTTTATATCGTCGATTTTGGATTATTTACTTTTATTATATCGACTGTAAATATTCAAGTTATAAATCATTAGCTTGATTAAAGACTAGCACATACCAAAACATAAGCTCAAATTATACATATTATATTGCTCCAGCTTATCGTCCAAAGACATTAATTATCTATCATTAAATGTTAACAGACCTTCATATTTATCACTACTTATACCTTCGACTAGTCATTTTTCGCTTTTCTAGCAATTCTTATAACGGCGACTGAAATTATTTTCAATTTTCATCTTAAATCGTGTTAATTTCTCTGGACTTTCACTTCCAATATTTTGTGGCAAAAATACTATCTGAATGCATACAGAAAGTTCCTTTAATCAATAAAAAAGCGGGTCAGCTTCTCCTGGTCTCATATAATAGCATATTTTATTTAAGCATTGGAAATATTACAATTGATTTGTATTAAATTGCTATTTTTAACAATAGAAGTTGTTTAATTTCATATTTCCTGATTTTATAGGTACAAAGTTACTATCCTAAGGCACTCACTTTGATTCAATGTCGATATTCTATTCCTCATCCACAGGACTATGAAGCTGAAATAAATTGCCATTTGATCAAATTGATTCAGCCGAAAATTGAATGCAGATGAACAGTTTGTTGTTGCCCCTCAAGAAAAAGCTCATTTTGTATATTTTGATAAACTTTGTTTCATTTGAAACTATTTGAAAATAAAAGAGAAGGGTTCGACTGAAGAGTTCAATTCTGATGTAAAATAAGCCAAAAAAATGGCGAACTCTAAAATAAATTGAAAACTCACCGCTTCTGCTATATCTATCCAGTCGAAAGCCTTGATAAATGGGTCGTTTTTACTAGGAATTTTATCCCAATTCCAGTAAGTCATTTCCTTAAATCTATTAACAACATAAAACTTCCTTTCGTCTTTATCTGTGCTCGGTTTTATGCTTTCGTGGAGAACTACGCCTACGTAGCCTTGTGGAACCTCAATGTTCTTACCTCTTAGGGGATACCCTCGAAACGAAGCAGTTAAAACTAAAATAAAATTATAAAAAAAACTATTGTTTTTTTGATCTTCTTTGCTCTCATCAATCAAAGATGATTCAAAGCAATTAAAGAAAAATATTTAAATAAGCTTTGTACTGATACCTATAGATAAAATTCGGAGAATATTCGAAGCAATTCAAAATGTTTCATTTTAATTAATAATTAATAACAATTAATAAAAACAAACCCCCAGAACCCAGAGAACTCGAAGAAACTTATAGAAACAACCTTGACATATCACTAGAAAATTATCTTATGATGCAAGGAACAGATAGTGATACACTAAACCTAAGATACAACGAAACTAATATGGGGGCCAAAATACCGAAAAATGACAAACGAAGATCTGAAAGTAATGAACAAACAAATCAGAAACGATGTGAAACAATATAACGAAACAATGGTGGAAGAAAGAATTGAAAATAGCAAAGGCCCTAAAATATTTAGGAAAAAATGAGCGAAGGAAGAATAGAAATAATAAACAACAGACGAGACAGGACAAATAATACACGAAAGACAGGAGCAATAGAACGATTCTACCAGAACTTGTATGCATCTAAAACACCAGAAGTACCAGACATAAAAMAGAGCCCTAGAGRAAGGCGAYACTGACAAGACGAAATTAAAGCAGCAATGAAAAAAAGTTTACAATCAGGAAGACAGAAGACTTTTACAATCAGRATTGCGGTCCASAAGACCTTTAAAAGATCCTTTGTTAACTCATCGCCACCGAAGGGCCCGTTTAAAATGGGCACGAAATCATCAAAACTGGCSATTGGTAGATACCGATTGGYGATAACCGAGTAAGAGTTTRGARAGAAGCAGGACGCCAAAATAGGCTTCATWYAGCCGTWGCASTTRYTCACATATCKCGGTSGAWSACAARTGYTTATTACCTKGSRRRTATTATSWTYMATAGAAKKATACCCCCACKTRWTSACATATYWMGGTCGATGACMAGTGCTYATTACCTTGYAWRKATKAYMATKCMKRGMMWYATWSCMCCACGTGATGAGCTGTTCAAGAAGTATTAGAAAACCGAAACATCACAAGATTAGATTGGCCGGCTTTATCACCTGACATGAATCCCATCGACCACGTCTGGGATTATGTATCAAGAGCCATTTTCAATCGGAACAATCCACCAAGAAATGCCCAAGAACTTATTGTTGCTGCTACAGAGGAATGGGAAAATATCCCTCAGGAAGTAATCAATAATTTGATTTTTGGAATGGTTAGACGTGTGAATGCGTTGTTAAAAAGTAGAAGCTCAAATACTGAATATTCATTTTGCTGTTGAATTTTTTATTTTCAGTTGTTCGTTAGAAATTGCATTTTTTAATTTTTAAAATTTTTGCATCCGGACTGTAATTTTCTTTTTATAAATAAATCGTTGAAATTAAATCTATATTGCCGTTTTTTAGAAGATTTTAATTTCTATTTAACACCGGGGCCTGCAAGGTTTTACAAAATTTTAAAATGTCCAAATAACTAGGGACAAGTGCAAGCAAGACTTTTGAAAGTGAGTGTAGAAACTGCTAACAAAAATACTAAGCAATCGACTCTACGATATCTATCGATATCGACTCATCGATACAAAGATTATCATACACACAATTGAAGACACCAAATCATCCCAATCAACAGATAAATTAGACTTCGGAGATACTATATCTCCGACACTATTGATAAACAGTATATATATAAATGTATATGGATTTCATATAAGGGGCCCCTAGAAATTTCCATGTACGACAGTATTTTTCTACTAACTTAGTCGATAAGTTTAACATCAAGATGGTGCTCTAAAAGGGTTTGTAATTTTGTTTTACATAATATTTACGTATTACTTATTTGAGAGTTTTCTATGCGTATTTATAGGTTACATAGGTACCTTCTTGGTCATTTGTTTTCACGTAGGGCTCGAAATAGGACTTGATTGGAGCATCGCAGTCTGCATGTATTCTAAATGGCACACTTTGTACTTTACTATTTTTTAAATTTGCTTCTATATTATTTTTCGCGTAATGTATATGAATAGCCATAATGTTCAGTTTGTGTGTACAGTTAAATTAAAATCAAATATTTACATCTGCTGTCTTCTTCTTCACTACTTTCTTTTGACAGTACTTACTTGGCCATTTGACCAGATTCTATCATCTCATCTCGCTCATATATTTCTAACAAAGGCAAGCAGCTAAATAAAATCACACAACTGTTTAACGATGAAATCGAACAATATCTATGAAAAATCCTCTAAATCATATGATGACCAAAACTAAAAATTATATTTGCGCAAGCTAAAATTACTATTAATAATATAATTAATATTATATTTGCACCAGGAAACTGTCCCAACTTCTCTTCGCAACAAGATGGCAACGCTGAAAACCCCAACTGGAAAAAGAAGACCACACTAATCAAACGTGAATCAAACCTATTATAATCAAACATTCCATGATTTCCTTTGTCTTTTTGTTTACGTACGAGTTGGTTGGCAATCGGTTTTCTAACAATTAAAACACCTTGCAGTGATGGAAAGTCTAAATGAAAGCGACTTAATCCAGGTGGGAAATGAATACACCCCTTTGGGCCACCATATGTCACTAAGCGAAACTGCTGAAGCGAATGCGAGACGTCGAAGGTTTGTTTGCAGGTGTTTTTTGAATTTCAGATAATTCCTATTAATTGCCTCTTTCCAGTTCCAACCGATTTATAAAACGTAGAAAATTTGACGACGAACTGGTCGAATATAGTCTAGGAATGCCAGGAGTATCAACCGTGAAGGTAATTCATGTGTGTGTTTAATTAACATTAATTGGCGAAGCCCCAAACCACGACTTGCCTCAAGGGCACTCGAGAGGGTTTCCGTTCTAAGCTGGAAATCAAAATTATCAAAACAAGACACTTAAACAAATCCGAGAAACAGCACACACACAACAAATCTCTAACGGGTCTGTTGGCACATTTTCAAAATGCAAAAAATGTTCAATAACTGCTCATCGAAGAGGTTTTAAATAAATACTAATAAATGTGATGGTTCAGTTCTCACTTTAACTTCTTCCACGTAATGCATCAAAGTTCGATAACATCATAATTTATTGAAATTATCAAAAGCCCGAAACATTGCCATCAGCATGGGTTAGCACAGCATACATGTTGCTTACAAAGAGGTAAGACCCGATAAAATAGATGCAAACCACATAAATTAGCGAAGTTGTTAAACTTGAGAGTACAATTAATAATATTAGCCAGGATTATCATATTAGGGGTCATAAGTGTTTTTGTTTTCTTTCAAGCACAGGAAGGTTGTGGTTAAATATATTTTTTCCTGTAAAAGCGAACAACAACATAATCTAAAGTCATCTAGGTATTTTTCTTTAAAGAATGAAACTCAATGTGATCTTTTGAAGAAAAAAATGTGAACCTTTTAATAGGCATATGCAAGTGAACACGACGAAAATAATTTTGGAATATTTAATTCGTGTGAAATTTGAAATATTGATTTTTCCAAAGCTGAATTTTCTTTAATTAGATAATTGGATCCAGCTTTCACCTACATATACATGGTGTTTCATGACGACGAGGCATTATTTTATTGTATTCTATTTTGGAAAATAATCCTATTTTGCTATATAAACTATAGCCTAAAAATGCTGCGGTTGCGGATTTACAGGGTGTTGAAATTTAGTTTAAAAAATGCAAAATGATAAATTTCTTCAAAACGCATGGAAATATTTTAACGATATTTTCCAGAGATCAATAGCTAGGAGAGACGCATGTTTTCCAATCAAATAAATTTGTTACATTTTTGCCAGTGGCGTGCGTACCTGCAGGCTGCCGAATTTGTTAAAGGATAAATAGCACGCCATTGTATTTTTTAATTTCTTGTATTCAAAATAAAATAATAACTTGCATTTTTTGCTACGACCTGCGATTAGGTTTCTCAAGTCCGCTTTGTGATGGGTGGGACACGTTTAAATGGGAACCACCGGTTGTAATCTAACTATTTTTAACAATTGCACTGTGCAAACATAGACTTCTACATCAACTAATAACAACAGTTTGTTCTAGAGTGGCCGCGCCAGAACGCAAACTTATCATCCCGATTTTACACCAGTGGGCTTGCCTTCGACGCCTGTTACTCAAATGACCCCAATTGCCCAACATTTGGTGGACAGTAAGAAAAGGTCCATTTCAAGACCCATTCCCAGCACTTCCAAGGGCAAGAAGAAGAGTGCCCCAAAGAGTCATCTTACTACTAAAGATCTGGGCCGCTGGAAACCTATTGATGATTTGGCCCTCATTATTGGTGGGTATAAGTATTATTGTACTTCTTCAATTTCAAGGCCTCCCAGTGTGGAAGTCGGTTGCCGATTATCATCGCTTTTTTCACTTTAGAAGCGGCTGCTATGAAACGTTGGTTAGCGGTGCGATGGAATGGCATTTTTTGTGAATTTTCATTATCTTCAGTTGGATTTGCCTTGAACATGAAATCAAAATATTCATATTTCGTCCCTCTCAGATGCGTCGAATATTCCATGTTTGACTGGGTTAAGCAACTCTCTTTCCACAAATCCATCCGTCTCTGAACTCCCGTATTTGTATCCCTCTACTCATGACATTCAGAGGTTTAATATTTTTAGGAATTGCTGGAATCACAGTGCACATTATCCACATTTGCAGGGTTCAAATCGCATTATTTCCCCAAATCCGCTGACCGTGAGATACCCTGTACATTACCGGCAACGTACGAAATCCGGCAATCTGCAAAATGCCCAACTCACCAGGCACCTTGTAGAATCGCTACTACTTTGGGCAATCTGCGAAAGAATTACGGTATTTTAGGCAATCTGCAAAATGCTGTAGGTACGCGCTACACAATCTCGAGTGTTAGACATTTTTACTCTTCATATTGACTAGACACTGTATAATACTTGATGCTGCGATGCTTTGCTGCTTACTTAAGTGCGATTGAGCAAAAATGCATAATTTGCATAGTTTTTGAATGATGAACAAATGAACTAGATCATACTTAACGTTTTGGCTTGTTACGTTTTTCCAATAAGCCCTTAAATTTATGATGCCATGAAAAGAACTGTAAATAATAATGTGTTTCAATCGCTCGACAGAAGTAAGAGCATAATCAAAATTCTGAAGTGCAATTATTACAGAAAGCTGAAGGCAATTATTAGAGATTGAAAAAATGCATGACAATGTTTTGTTGGACTATTTTAGTAGCAAAGATATTTTTCATTTAATGGTGGAGAAGTATTTTCTCACAAAGGTTGGAAGAATGTAGTTAATTAGGTTAATTAGTATTATATCATTCATAAACAATATTAACATAAATACAAAACACAAGTCTTTACCTCACTAGTAATAAATCATAATCAGCGAAGGAATTTTAATTTTTGTTTGTTTACAAAAATATGCTCAGTTCGTTTTAATTCACGCTAATTAAATATTTTCACACCATTTCTTAAACATGTTGTGTGTTACTTCACATAGTTTTTGACTGGTAAAAATTGAGATTATTTTTTACACTACATTATAACATAAATATGAAGTTTCCACAAGACGCTATTAGGACAAGAATACAAATAAACTAATAATCAAAAAGCGACACATTGCTAACACGGTAATTGTTACAAAGTGGTTTGTGCAGATTGCTGCAGCACAAAACAGCAAAGTTTTCTCGTAAAAAACTAGACAGCAAATGCCTACTGTCTAGTAAATGTGAAAATTAAACATATCTAACACTAAGATTTACTAGCATACGTATATACTTCGTTCTGAAGATTGCCTAAAATACAGCAGTTATTTAGCAGATTACCCAAAGTAGTAGCGATTCTGCAAAGTGCCTGGCAAGTTGTCAGTTTGCAGAATGGCTTTTGCAGGTCACGTTTACTAAAGACAATCCCTTTTGTTTATATTGGCTCTTTAATGTGAACTGCTTTAAGTATTATAGTTTTGGTTTCAAACTACACAACATAAAATGAAACATATTTTCCAAACGTTACACGGAATACGGAACTTCACAGATCCGAGATTCGTCCCGAAACACGGAGAACGGGTACAGAACCTGAAGACCCATCGGCCCTTCCAGGTTCTGTTCAATAATTATTAGTCGATCTGGATTATTTCGACAACCAGGTTTACCCATAATTTACGCCACGCGTATTCATGAAAATGTGAAAGCTGTAGAATATGTGAATTAATTTGTACTACAGTTCAACGCTGCTTCCCTTGTCCACATAAATAAGATTCGTTAACACCCGAAACCCGCTCTAGAAAAGTTGGAGATTCAGACCTGGTTCACTGAGTGTGGCCAGTTTCGATCCGCCAATTACTGTTGTTAATATAAAAAAAGGTAAAAGACCTAAAATACTGAAGCTTAGCATGTTTTCTGTAGGAGTTCAACAGACTAATGATCTGAAAACAGTGCATTTGGGTACAAAGTTTTCGTGCAAATTCACATTGCAAGAGTTACAATCTCGCTGGTACGCGTTACTGTACGATCAAGCTGTTTCCAGAGTGGCTGTATCCGCTATGAGAAATTTGCATCCGGATATGGTTGCCTCTGTGCAGGACAAGGCGCTTTGGAGCAAAGAGGAGGAGGCGATTTTGGGTACAATTAAAGCGGCAAGTTTTGTGTTTTATTATTTAACTACTGGACGTTGTATGGCAATGGAATTGGGGATTTTTTATTCTCTGGTTTCATCGTTGAATTAATACGATTTCTATAATTTTAGAGCACTAATGCAACTATAGAAACGTTTGGAGATCTCTTGTCCAAGCATGCTGACGTCTTCTACAACGGCAGAACGGCAAATACACTGTTTCGGCACTGGCAAAGCTTGCGCATGTATCATCTACTGCCAGATCAAACTGTGGGGCAGATGCCCCACAATGGCAAGCCAATTTTGACTTTTAATGATGCCGAGGAATTAATTCAGGATTCCGATCTGCTCGATCCACCAGATGAAACTCTGGATCGCGAACTGAAGTATGCTTTATTCACTCACACTCGAGTGATGGTAATAGCAAAAACAAATTAAAATTTTAGGCTGCAGCAGCGTAGGAACATTAAAGAAATACGACAAGTAGAAAACGAGCTGGGAAGATGGAAGGTGCTGATTGATAGTATTTCGCCTGACATGTCTGGTGGTGAACTAGAAGGGCAGACTTTGGCAGTACTTAGAGGGCGAATGGTCCGATACTTGATGAGATCAAGGGAGATCAGTATTGGAAGGTCTGGCAAGGGGTATAGTGTTGATATAGACTTGTCTCTTGAAGGGCCGGCGCATAAGATCTCGCGCAAACAAGCTACCTTAAGGTACATAACTTATTATTTAACATCGCAGTGGCCAGCTAACAGTATCATGTGTTTCAGACTAAGAAACACTGGGGAGTTTTATTTGTCGTCCGAAGGCAAAAGACCGATTTTTGTGGATGGCAAACCGATTTCAGCTGGAACCAAAGTCAGACTATATGATAGCGCGGTAGTGGAAATAGCCTGTCTGAGATTTATTTTCACGGTTAATCATGATCTAATTAGGGCGATTCACAATGAAAGTGTGAGATATAATTTACCCCCTTAATATATTTTATGCTTATGTTGTTAATTGACGTTGAACTCTTACTTTGATTGTATTCAATAAATATTCAAAAGTACTTACTTAAACTTTATTTCTTAAAGTAAAGCTTCATTAGGTTGATTGAGTGCCATTTTCATTCCCTTCACTCGTATTTGAAAAATTAAACCTGAAACTATTATCAGATCTACTAAATATTGTATTATTTTCTATTGGGGCGTCGCCATTGACTTTTTCCTCAGGTGGTCCTTCATCAATCCCATTACAGTCGGGAGTGGGAAAATTGAATTTGAAATCATTTTCTGTGTCTCTAATGTTGGCTTTTTTATAAAACGTAGATTTTTCACTCGGTTTTCCTGTGGCAATTTTTAAGGCGATTTCTGCAAAAATATCGTGTTTTTTTTTAATTTTCTACTTGAACTGAACACGTACTTTTAGCCCTTTTTTCATCCTCCAACATTTTGGTTCGATAATCCCCGAAGGACATCCTCATTACTTGTCTTTTCTTTACTATAGGCGCTGTATTACTCATTAATGTGTTGAGGGACTTTGTATGTTCTTGTACTAAAATATCGCACTATGAAGCATTTATTACATATACCGATTATTTGGTAGAAACAATTATTGTTAAACACAAATATCCCCTTTTCCAATATTCAGGGTGTTCCTGCCTGCTATTCTATAACAATCCTACCTTGTTTAGCAGCTAATTTTCCTGATGATAACGCTTTTTGGAATTGTTGTATACACCAGTACAGCTCTAACTGGAACTGCTGCTCCTGCTCTGTTGTCAGGCCAGTGATAGGATTTACGTCAGGTGCACTTGGGCTGGGCTGCTCTACCCTCTGGTTTTGGGAAATTTGAATTGGGGGCAGATTGGGAGCCCTGCGGGTTTTTCCAGAGTTTTTGTGCAATTTCACTTTAGGAGGTGGCATTATTTAAAACAACTGGATTTTATACGGGTTTAATTGCTTCTTTATATGAACACAGAAATAACATTAATGAAAAAGTTACAAGCATAGAACAGGGCTTATAAGTGGTAAAACAGTATACACGCCAGAGACAAGTCTTGTCTCTGTACACGCCCGAATACTGTTCATAACCTGAACCACAGACTACCTGAACGTCGTAAACACACAGATCACAGAGGTTACTCTGTGATCACAAAATATCCCCCCAGAGGGGATGTTCGTCTGTGCTATATACTAGGGCTCGGAATTTTTAAAAATCTGAAATTTGAATATTCGTTTAGTGGTTTATTCGAATAGTAAAATTATTCGAATATCTAACGAATATTCGAGTGTAAGACGTAAGTAAATAACGAAATCAATAAATTCTAAACGACCACCGTGCGACCACCTAAGGGTCATACCCAGATAGCACAAAATATTACATTACATATTTAGGAAATATTTTTCTAATTAATCTAATTCAATATGTTTCAGATCAAAAGCAAATATTTTTTAAATATTTGTTTCTAATATTTAACACTGTCTATATATAACACCACTAACACGCAAAAAGTTACTAATATATTATTTTAATAAGTGGGAACAAACTTTAGAACATATTATATGAATTTTCATTGATCAATGAATAACAAATATTTAAGAGCAAAAGGAAATATTTTTTAAATATTATTTAAATGTTATTTCAAAATTATTTGTTTCTAATATTTAAATAGCATGAAAGAAATAAAATAAAAATAGTTTTTCCTAGTACGTAATACTTTTCGTGCCTATATATGACACCACTAACACCCAAAAAGTTACTAATATTATATTTTTAATAAATATGAATAAACTTTAGAACTTATGATCTGAGTTTTTGATCAGTGAATAGAAAATATTTCAGAGCGAAACGAAATATTTTTCAAATGTTATTTAAACATTCTATAAAAAATATTTGTTTCTAATATTTAATTAGCATGAAATAAGTAAAATAATAATAGGTTTTCTTAGTACGTAATACTTTTTGTGTCTATATATAACACCACTAACACGCAAAAAGTTATTAATATATTATTTTAATAAGTGTGAACAAACTTTAGAACATATCTCAATTTTCATTGGTCAATTAACGGTAGATATTTCAAAATAAAAAGAAATATTTCTTAAATATTAGTTAAATGTTATTTTGAAAATATTTGTTTCTAATATTTAATTAGCATGAAACAAATAAAATAATAATGGTTTTTCCTAGTACGTAATACTTTTTGTGTCTATATTAATGAATACATTCATGTATTCATTGTATCATAGGTTAATCTAATGAAAACTAAGTTGAGAAATAAGCTAAAAACGAGCACAATTTCATCTTTACTTCTTTACTGACTCATGTTTATTTTAGTATTCCTGTCAGTTTAAAAATTAAAAAAAACGTGCGATTTTATGGACGTATGATGATATAATAATGAAAAAAAATGAGTCAACCGATTTTCTACCGAAAAGTGTCGAGCTTATCTACCGAAACTCGATTTTCGGACCTGGCAACCCTGGCGCTAGGTCTAGTACGAGCTTGACTGTCAGACCGCTGTCAGTCTTCAGTTATCCCTCGTCCGAAGTGTTTATCTGTAAGAGTCCACATGGTATATGGTGTTCTGTACTTGTGTTCATCTATGCTGTACGCTAGACGCGAGCCACGCTTCCATTGACATTGGCTGAAATGTTTATACCTGTTCATTAGTGAAATAATCCACAATATTTCGGGATTATCAGAGAATTTTTAATTTTCGGAAATGTGCTGTTATGTGGTTTAATTCGGTAAGTAAAATGCAAAACTCCCAACGCAGAAGAACCACTTTGAGTGGTTCATCTGTGCAATCCTCTGTAGGTAGCTTATGTACTCTCACCTGATATACAAGGCTTCTAAGAACCCATGCATCGCTAAAAGCTATCATGGGATGGTAATTATTATCGAAAAATGTTTGTTATGAGATTATCTATAAGGTGGCCATAGTGTTAATCGGCAAAACGGCAGTCCTGGTATCAGATGGGGTCGCAAATAATTACCATCTTATCATTACATTTTGAGAAAATGCCGTTTTGTACCAATTGTCCTCTGGAATTCACGAATTTCCAAAACAAAACAAAGGACGCCATGATGGATCCTCAGGAGCAGAGGACAAATCCAACGTTGCCATTTACCACGATTGGTCATTTTTAATCTAACCCCACTTTTATTCGTTGGCAGTTTAAACAAGGAAAGAACTAGTTTTATCAATGAACTGTATGCAAGTACTAAAAGGATATTGACTTTTTGTCTGCCACAACATTTATTCTGCATGTTTTTGTTGCACTTAAAAGCAACAAACAACAATAAATAGTATAAGCTTGAAAGCTTTTAATTTAATTTAAAATTTTAGAACTCCAAATGGATAGTTTGAGAAAGGTTAGTTGACTAATCTCTTAATTATTAATACGTTTTAAAAAAACCTGTTTTTTTTTACAGAAAATAAATAAAATAGTCTCTATAAATATTTAACTGAATAAACATCACATCCTTGCAACCATTTTATAATACTTTTATAAGAACATTTCGTACAATACATTTTTGTGTTTATTACGATCAGGGGCAGATACTTTGCATACCCCCCTGAGCATATACTTTTAATTATTTTTTGCGACGTTCCGTAAACTGTAGATTAAGTTTAATATGGTTTGCTTTGTTGTCTTTTTAAAATACTATTTATTGTTGTTTTTAAGTGCAATAAAAATCCTACAGAATGAAGGTTGTGGTAGACAAAAAGTCAATATTTCTTTATTACTGCGCCCTCCCCTCAAGAAACTCTTAGATCCCCTGCTGATTACGATTAGTATCTGTTAAAAATACTTTGAGTACCTCATAATTTTTTAAACGTTAATACATTCTGTTTTTTTATACTTACATATTTTAAAGCATGGAGGACTGAGTATACTTCTAGTTGTGTTAGTTATTTAATAAGGAATACAATTTGTGAACATATTAATTTTGTTGGCTGCGGAAGATGTTTTTAAGTTAAATTATGAATGTTATTGATCTGAACATGTGCAGCAGCTGCTCAATTATAATTGGAATCATAATGACAAAATGTTGATTATGTTGAAAAAATAAACTGCAGAGCTTTCACCCGAACAATTAAAGCTTATAAACAATCAGTTAAACACACTTAAGTGTGTGATTAATAATTATTAATGCTTCTGTAAGTAATATTCCTGTGAAATGCTTATAACCAAGTATCACACTATTTTCCAGAGAACCATCAAATAAAACCACCTTTCTCTACCACAAAGAAAGGAAAAACTAAATATTGTTCCTTTAATAATAAAATAGGAGTCTACTAAAGAAAAAATACAAAATCAAATAAAAATAGTTCCTTCCTTGTCTAACCTGCCAACGAATAAATGTGGGGTTAGATGATGATGATGATGATTAGAAATGACCAAAATCGTGGTAAATGGCACGTTGGATTTGTACTTTGTTTACCTGCTCCTGTATCCTCGTGGTGCGATGAGCCACTCGTCAAATTATTCGTTATCAAGTGACAGTTGAGAACTTGTCAGACAGACTTGTTGATTTATTGGAGTTGATGACATTTATAAAAGAAAACAATAATTACACACTTTTCGATCTGTTTCTATTTCTTTAAAAGCCTGCTAAAGTTGATTAGAACAAAGCAAAGCAATCACACAGATGTAAACACCAATGTGACACCATTGTCAACAACAAAACAAGTATCAATTTACTATTTGTAGTTATAATTTTAGCCACTAGGGGGCGTCAGGCCTTTTGAACCCGCAAATTGAGAAAACATTTCTTAAATAAACTTTGTTGTTTTAGCATAATGGCAGATAGTGATAATGAAGGATTCGATAGCAATGATGCAGGAGTTAATTTAACAGGATTTTTATTTGGGAATATAGACGAATCAGGCAATTTGGAAAGCGATGTTTTCGATTCCGAATCACAGAAGCACCTGACCTTGCTAGGCAGGTTCGTTATTTTTTTTACTTTTGAGTACAGTATAACCCCTGTAATCCGAACTAGTTATTGCAAAAGCAAATTCAGACATTATGATTATTCAATTTGAATTTTGGGCATCGTCCGAACATAAAGTTGTTAGGGCTCGTGTAATGTGTGTCATTTCGGATTATGTTAATATCCATAAAACACCCTTAAGTGTCTTTCTATTTAAATAAACTATTCATTGTATTGGCATTCCCAATAATTATCCACGATCATTCTAACAGTTATAAATGCCCTCAACTACTTTATTTACGACACATTTGCTTTCTCACCCATGAAAGAGCTCTTAAAGCCTCCGTCCCATGCATCCGTTTATACGATGATACGATGGTACGAATGTGTTTCTATTGGTCAGAGATTTTAGACGTTCGTACGATCCCGATTTTAGCTGTCCCATGTATAACCGTGCTTGCCGGATTCACAATTTTATCTTACCATATCGAACCAAGACATCCTCGAGTTCAGTTCTACGGCTGAAAAATAAGCAGCGATAAATCCTATCAAAGTTTTTTGTTTGAAAATATCAGGTCGCACATGAAATTAAGCCAAAATATGAATTAACGTTGTAAAGAATTTTTAAGAAATATATGTCTTGAATATTCTGATAGAAAGCAAAATGATACGGCAACATTGCTTAAAATTGAGGTATAGATATTAATTAATTTAAATCGTAGATATAACTTAATATAAATAATAATTAAACGTAGACGAAGCTAAACATGTCTGGACTTTTTACGATTTTCTGTGGAATTTAAGTGCGTTTTGAGTATTATTATAAAATTAATGTTCAAAAATGTAATTTTACTTGTTTGTTTTCGTCAATGTTCCGGTATTCATATGTAGATAAGGTTTCGGAAGAAAGTTGATTCAATTCAATGAGATTCTCGGTACCAATCAATTAAAAAACACTTGTAAAATATTCGTTTATTTTATGTTATGAAATATGGTCTGGAACCCAAAATCGTGTATTTTAACTTTCCCTGTTGTGCCTAATCAATAATAATGAAAACAGAAGCACTTTGTTAATCCTATTTTGTCCTGAAAKCTTAGTCTTCATTATTAAAACTTACAATAAATTCAACATAAAATATATAAACAGTATCAAATCAATAAACAGATAATTTTGCATTCGAGCTTGTTGTCTTGTAAAAACTGCATTCGTTTATTTTCACATTGGAACGAAAAAGCACTCCTCCTTCGGAGTCGGGCTTTTTCGCCACCTTAATGGAGCTCAAAATTTAATGTAATTTAGACTACCAGTATTGAAATTATAAATTATTTTTGCCATCATGCGTTAAACAAGTTCACTATTTTATGGATTCTATAAATAATATGAAGTTATCACTTCTGTCGCGCGTCCCGTAACGCACATCTTTTTTTCCTTCTCCTGGTTTGAAGGACAAACATTTTGGAAGTGAGGAAGCTGTCTCTACCCGCACTGTTCGTATTAACACATTGTTGTTCGGACTAAGCGGCATATTCCGGATGTTCGTAGGACTGAAATCCGGATAAAAGCTCGGAAGAGAATAATAAAAGTTCGGATTTGAAAGRGTTTCAYTRTRMWCACATTTATGAACACATTTCRTATGTTTTACATTTGATTGATTTCTCGACTTTAATTCAGTTTTAAAATTTCGACATATTCAAGTGATAACAGTTACTCTCACAACAGTTTGATTTTTAGACTCGCTTTGCGATCAATGATTAAAGAAGTTATTGGGGAAGAAAAAATTCGGGATGATTCCGGAAGTGATTATGATGCATCCGAAGAAAGCCAAGGTGCGACTAGTCAAGAATCAAAATTTGGGGATGAATCTGACGATCTCGGATCTGAAACCTGTAAGTCGGATTAACCATCAATCGTAAATTAATTGATATTGCCAGTTTTGTACGTACAGGATTGAACTTTGGTCACCCCGTTTCAACATCTAATTTGAAAGTTAGACAAAAATGTTTAAAACGAAAGTTGTAGATTTTAACGTCTAGTTTATTTTAAGATAGTAACTATTCATACAGGGTGTCTCAAATTCAAGAGACAGACCAAACTTACCTTTTTTTGAATGAAATGCCGTACTTTTATTGCATATTCGAGCTATTCGTAAAATTCTAGGCCCATTCGATATAAATGTTCTATATTGATTTGCAACTGTTTTTGAGCTGTAGATAAGTTCTATCTATATTGTTAAGGCGGATTCATTTATTTACAAACTGTTTGTTGGGTATTTTAGCTCACACATTTTTGTCGTTAAAAAAGACAGACTTTCTTCACGTCTTTTATTACAGATTAATAAATAGTGCTCTTATTTCGCAATAAGAACGAATTATTTATCAAAAAGTCATCAAAAACTATCACTTAGAGGGTATCCTGCGACACTTGGCTCAAGATGTAAGAGCAAATTCCAATTAGTAAAGAAATTAATTTGAAAAATTACCTTGCCGTTTCGATAGCTATTTTCTGCCATGGTTATCAAAAGAACCTAAGTGAACCTAAAAAAGAGTATGTTAATAAATTGTGTAGCAATAGTAGGATCAAACAATATGTAAATATGTTTGAATATAAATTTCATAAGAATCAAGTTTTTCTCTTGTTGTAAAAGACATAGCTGACTTTGCAAAAAGGCACAACCTTGTTTCGTTCGTCACTTAAATTAATCAAATTATGTCTATTCTATTTGACGAATTCGAAGTTATTACCATTGGTAATAAGTACGGCCTTCCATTAAAAAAAAAGGGTTAGTTGGGTTTTGTATTTAACATTTTTCTCTAATTTTCAAATTATATGTTAAAACGGGGTGACCAAAGTTCAATCAATAACATTGTACACGCTTTCTCATCAAATATTTTTTGATTATAGACGATCAGAAATCCCCATCTGCACAGGACTTTTTTGACATTAATGAGATTGCTGATGATGAGGTAGACTACTAATTTATCTCGCAAATTAGCTTCTTGTTGTAAATCGGTAGAGTTTATAATAAACCGACTTATTTCAAATTTCAAGGATCAGCAGTCAATCATTCCAGAAAGTAGTTCTGCTATTAAGGAAGTACGCAATGATAAAAATCTCATGCCACCTCCACCTGCACCAAACACAAATGAAAATGCGGAAAACAATGCAAAAGGAGTTGAAAAGCGGAAACTGGATACGCCACTGGCCGCTATGCTACCTTCCAAATATGCTAACACAGATGTGACTGAGCTGTTTCCCGATTTTAGACATGAACAAGTTGGTTATTAATATACCGGCAATGGTGTTAATGAATTACAAATTTGGTCTTTCAGGTATTGCGATTTTCACGATTATTTTGTCTAGGCAAGTCTAACAGTCTTCCGAATATCTGGAAAAACGTCAGGAAAAAACGAAGAAAACGGAAACAGAAAGGTAGTCAGCCCGATTCCGATTCTTCAGACGAAGAAAAACCTAGAAATCGAGGATGGTTTTTTGACTATGAGAATAATGTACCCCCTGAAGGGATTAAGAGCGATGATGAGGTAAAAGCTGATAATAACTAGATTATAAGGTGTCTTAATCAACTTTTTGCATGTTTAGGAGAAATTCCTAAAACCCGTAGAACAGCAAAGCGAGTCAAATAAAGACGATTCAGAGAAAAAAGACGAATCAGGCCCTAAAGCAGCAGATTGGCGTTTTGGACCATCTCAAATTTGGTATGACATGTTAGACGTACCAGAAACAGGCGATGGATTTAATTACGGATTTAAACTCAAAGAAGAGAAAGAAGTAAGGGAAATTATTTCAAAGTTTTATAAAACTTTTGTCAGTAGTTCAAGATAGACTTACACAGGGTGAGTTTTAGTCGATGATAGTACAGGGATCTTGCAAACTACAGCAGATACGAAAAAAGGTTAAATGAACAAAGAATTGCAGTTTTGAATGCTCTACTCGAAAGCAATTTTCTTTTTTCAAAATTTGACAGGTCTCAAGGGATATTTGAAGACAACTATTTTATGACTTGATTTTTAAATAACTCGTAGTTCAGTCAGTATTAATCTGACAGTTCAACTACCGACGGTGGCGCTGCGGAACGTCAAATTAATCTTTGTCTAGTGAAAGTTGAGACTTGTCAGACTTGTTAATTTATTGGGGTGATGGCATTTATAACATAAAACAATACTTACACACTGTTGTGTTCCGAAAAGAACCATGGACAAAAATTCATACGCAGCTCATCATGCGCCGAATGTAAAGTTTGGGATACTGATAATTTATGCGGATGGAATTTGTGTTTTTCGAAAACTCATCACGGTGCTTTGAGAACTCCCGGATTCCGCTGCAATCTCTCTGGTTGAAATCTGTGGATCTCAATTTTTAAAGACAAAATTAAATCTGTTAACAATAATAATTAAATATGTTGATTAAGCGGAGCGACCCGTCGCGTTGCCCACGTTGGCCTGTAGTTGACGTGTGCAATTTTTTCGAAAACAGTCAGTAGCACAGACTGTTGGAATAAAAATGAAATAGCGTTCGATGCATCTGGTAGTTCATAAGATCTGCTCGCTAACGCAATTTACAATTCGACTCTACTGGGTTAATGAATGAATTTAATTGATAGGCTTCACCTACTTTTGATTAATACAAATGCGGTTAAACAAAACTGTAAAGGAAAGAAACAATTGAGCTATTTGTGCTGCTGAGTACACTATATTTTTTGTTTTTATTTTTTTCGTCTTCTTTCTTTTAAAATTCGTTGAAAGATAATTTTAGGAAAAACTACATAAGTTGGAGAATATTTTGAGGCATCAATGTATTCCTCAGTTCATTACGAACGTTTTAGTATAACGCAGAATTTTTATTCCAAGCCGTTGGAAGGTTAAGTCGTTTGAAGCAATTTTTAGCTGTTTCCCATGGACTTACATGTAAATTGTAACTCAGAAACTAAAAGAGTTAGGACGTTGAAATTATGTCAGGAAGTTACTCTCCAATAAACTAAGAAACCTACAGAATTTCAGCCTTGTAGCTCGGTGTGCACATAGTTAAATTTGGAGTTTTTATGGACAGACAAACAGACATATGTACATTTATTTTTATATATGTACATAGATTCAATGGTGCCATCAACCCGAGATGTTGAGCATCTTAGGAATCCCTAAAATTAATAATGGACTTACGAGCTTTCGTAGGCTTAAAGATTCCGATTTTTTGTAAGTGTTTACTGTTTACTTATTTTTGATAGCGGTTTTATTATTCGGCCGCTTATTAGAGCTTTGTGTCCGCGTGTAAGAGCTTCTTAATTTCTTATGAGGAAAATAGCATGTCCGCGTCCACTTAATAGAATGCCCGCTGATAAGAAAGTGTACACTGAAATCCATATGACAAAATTCGGTTCCAAGGAAAATGTCCGGTTAAGAGAGCTCTCCGCAAGTAGAGCTTTCACTGTAGTATTATTTTACTTAACAATACAGTTTGAGATAAAATGTAAGACACACTCAATGTTAGCAGCAAAGATATACTTTTGGACCTAAAGTATCAATTTACTATTTAACTTATTTGATCGTTGATTCCAGGAGGTAAAAGAAGAAAAACCCTCAGAGTTCGAGCCGTATCCAGACGAGGCATTTTTGATGGTGACTCAATTGCATTGGGAAAATGATATTATTTGGGATGGAAGCGAGCTGAAACATAAGGTAGGTGATTTGTCAACGGCATGAATACATTCAGGAAGTTTTTAGACATTTTCCTGCAAATTGCTTAATTGATTTAGATTTTCTGAATGATTTAAATTTGCTTTGTGATAAACTTTGTGATATTTGCTTATATCCGTTCGGTTTTCTAGAAATTGAATAGTAAGACAAATGCGGCCGGATGGGTTCCTAGTAGCTGTAATCGCACAGCTCAAGCATTCAGTCAACCAGGGAAAGTCAGCACCAATAGTATCCGAATGCCCCCCGTTACTAACCCTACAATAGCTGCTCTTAAGCAGAAGAATGCTATGTAAGTATGAAATGAATTTTATTAATTAGGCTTCATTTTTAAGCATTGTGTTCTTTTTCGTAGTGCGCTTGTAACTATTAATTATCTGATTCATTTGAGTGCAACTTTTGTTTTATTTTTTAATAAATCTGTTTTCAGTATTCCCATCAAGCCCAGAACAGAACAGGAGCAAGATGATACCTGGTATTCAATATTTCCAGTAGAAAATGAAGACTTAGTGTATGGGAGATGGGAGGACGATGTGATTTGGGATGCTGAGAATATGAATTCCATTCCAAAACCCTCTATACTGACTTTAGATCCCAATGATGAAAATATTATTTTAGGTATACAAATTACCGTTTAGTTAAAAGTTTTCATCAACTAATATTATTTCATTTTGTGTTATAGGAATTCCCGATGACATTGATCCATCGAAACAAATCGCAGGCCAAGCCACTCCAGTTAAGGTGAAAATACCCCACCCTCATGTTAAAAAATCGAAGATTTTGCTCGGAAAAGCTGGTGTTATTAACGTGTTACAAGAAGATACGCCACCACCGCCTCCAAAATCGCCAGATCGAGATCCATTTAATATTTCCAATGATATGTAAGTCATCTGAACAGATTGTATTTTGTTCCCAAATTTTCAACCACGATTAGAGTTGAAAAATAAACCTAGAAACACTATGAGTATTCAAGTCAGATTTAACTATTTGTGTTTCACTTTCAGTTACTATCAGCCTCGTACTTCTGAAACAACCATGCGACTTAAAGTAGGGGGAGCGAATTTAATCCCACATTCTACGCCAGTGGTAGAACTGCGAGTACCTTTTATTCAAACTCACATGGGCCCCATGAGATTGAGAAATTTTCATCGCCCGCCTATGAAACGTTTTTCTCATGGACCACTCGCTATGCCTGGACCGCATTCTGCTTTGCCATTGGTAAGCATGACGATTCTATATTTAAATACAGGATGATGTTAAACATTGTTAATTCTTAGGTAAAGCACATTAAAAAGAAAGCGAAACAAAGGGAACAGGAACGAATGGCATCAGGAGGGGGTGATGTGTTTTTCATGAGAACTCCTGAAGATCTTACTGGGAGAGATGGAGATTTAATTCTCGTGGAATTTTGTGAGGAACACCCACCTTTAATGAATCAAGTAAGGCATCACACTTTTCTGATGTAAGAGTCAAATTGTAAAATGTATTCAATATTTTCAGGTGGGAATGTGTTCTAAAATCAAAAACTATTATAAAAGAAAAGCTGCTAAAGATAGCGGTCCACCCTCATATAGATATGGGGAGACGGCCTACGCACATACTTCGCCATTTCTGGGCATTCTTCATCCAGGACAGTCGATTCAGGCAATTGAGAACAATATGTATAGAGCTCCAATTTATAGTCATCAAATGCCAACTTCGGGTGAGCATTTTTCATTAATTAATGGGCTATGCTATTGAGTCTACTGACTAGATTAGAGGTCGGCAACCTGCGGCTGGTAAGCCGCTTGCTGCTCAGTGGAATCATACAGTTTGCTCAACGTTACGTCACGTATAAAGCGCTTTGTCCGATACTAGCTTTATTCGCGGTAACGATTCCGATCGCATACGCGTAGAGGCATTGTTTAGGGAAATTAACTTATATTAATAATCTCACCAAATGAACTTCGGTCATAAGTTTTGTCAGTAAATTTTGCGTACACAGCGGAAGCGCGCCTATCGGGCAGAGGAACCCCCATTTTCTTGGTATAAATAAACCTGCACAGATTGAGTCAGGATAGTCAGTCCCGTTTTTCTTCAGGATACCTTCTGTATGATCCAGGTTGTTTATGGACCGCGCTTACTTTATGTGAACAAAACCTGGCTGATTCTATCTTTTAATTATAGACAAAAGTGAATTACATTTTTGCCGTTTCGTGTGCAGATATTTTCCTTGTCTAGCCAGAACGGTTGGCTGTAGATAAACTATATTTAGCAAGTGCCAGGTAGTTTTACCCGAATTTAAGGGACTTACCCTTAAATTCGGGCCCTTTGACTAAAGGTTCGCTCGTGCGATTGATGCATGCGTCTGCCGCATATGGCATAACATGTTTATGGGTTTACTAGCGCTCGGAAGCGCTGCTAAGTGGCCCGTGTGAAATGGCTCTTAGACGCACATCATTTTTTTGACATCCTTACTTTTGGCGCAAGCTTATTGTTTTATGTATGTTAAAGTAGAATATTATTTTTTTTATAGATATGTGTTAGTTTTAGTATTGTTATTATCGTTGCCAAGTACCAAAAATACAAACCTTCTATTATTATTATTATTATTTGAATGGGATTTCCATTATAACTACTACAACAACTACTCGTGGTATGGCCACTAATTCTTTACAACAAATTCTAGTGGGATTGCCACTAATTTGTTTACAGCAAATTCCAGTCGGATTGACACTAATTTTTGCAAAAGTGGGATTGCGACTAACTTTTGCAAACAATGGCATTGCCACCAACTTTTGCAAACAGTGGGATTGTCACACGGTGCTCTTTGCGCACAGACGTTTCCAAGAGCGTTTGTATCTGTGATGGATTTATCCACAAAAATAGTAAACCCATTAATTGCAAAATGACATTCTCACATACAGTTATCCGGCTTCTTTCTATTAAGGAAGTTCTATTAAGAAGTTTATCCCCCTTGCCACCGGAAGCAAAACCAAAAAAAAGAAGAAGAAGTAAATAGCCAATCTTCTGCTCTTATTTTGCATAATGCTGTCGAAGGGCTCAGTACTAAAAGGTTTTTCTTTATTCTTTGAAAATATTAAGAAGGCGTATTTGCTGAGTTCAGTAATGATTAGTGGCTGCAAAATGTTTATATCTCCGTTGATGACATCGCATTTAAATAGATTGGCCAGAGAGCCAGATCAACTAGATGTGATATTTCACACACTCTTTTAGAAGCAATACTTACGTTAGTTCAAGACCTGGAGAATGGACCGTTACTATATCTCAAGAGATAATAGAAACTGTTCGGGTTGTCATATTAAAAGTGCATGTTTTGTCATCGCAATTGAAAAATACAAGTGTTAACACTTCAAAAATTTTAGATCCGAAAAACCTTCTCTATCCTTCTTAGCACATAGTGATAAAATTGCGCGAGTTGAATTTTCCACTATTCCCAAATATTGATAGAGCTCAATTTAAATTGTAGTTGTTAGATTTTAAAAACAAAGAATTATGGACAGAATAGTTCATACATTTGCAATCGTAACTAGAAAATTTAGCCAGAGAAAAAGGAAAATTGGCTGTCAGACACAGATATTTAGGATCAATTGAAAATCTATGCTTGTGGCACCTTGACAATTTTCAGATGAACTTACTATTGTGAAGAAACCAAACAAAAAATGGCCTTTAACGCCAGAAATGTTACCGACCCCTGGACTAGACATATTTTAGTTGTACTTTTATTGAAAACCTATTGATTTTTTCTTTTTCTTTGTTGTAGATTTTCTTGTAATACGCACTCGACAACAATATTATATTCGCGAAATCGATGCGTTATACGTCGCTGGTCAGGAGTGCCCACTCTATGAAGTACCAGGACCAAATTCGAAGCGAGCCAACAATTTTGTCAGGGATTTTTTACAAGTCTTTATTTATCGTTTGTTTTGGAAGAGTCGTGATAATCCACGACGCATTAAAATGGACGATATAAAAAGAGCATTTCCGTCACATTCAGAAAGCAGCATACGCAAAAGACTGAAGTTGTGCGCCGATTTTAAAAGAACGGGCATGGACTCAAATTGGTGGGTGATTAAACCGGAATTCAGACTTCCAACTGAAGAGGAAATTAGAGCGATGGTGTCGCCGGAACAGTGCTGTTCTTATTTCAGTATGGTTGCTGCAGAACAAAGGTAACACATTATTTAATTATGCGCAGGAATGAAACATCGTAGTAGCAATTAATGGAAATTGAGCATATAGACTTTAATGGTGCAATTTACCTTGAACAAATAATCATGTAAAACTAAGGTAAATGTACCTAATATGGTCCATGCACCTGTTATGGACCACCCAAAGTGGTTTGTGTTTTTGTTTAAGCAAAAATTATTTTTTGTTTGTAAAACCTTGGCAATTTTATAAGAAAATATTATTTTTTGGCTTAAATAATTGCGTTTTAGTTAGTCATTTTATAGAGGTGAAGACGGTCACCATGGTTAGGCAGTATAAAACAAAATCGGTATTAATTTTAAGAACTACAATGAAGAAAACGTCGCTAGATCTCTCGAAGATATTCGACAAGGCAGGCAAAGAAAAAGAAAAAAAAGACAGACTGCAGAAAATAACATAATTCAAGATCCACCTTACCCGATATAAAAAAAGGAATAAAAACGAAGAAACATGCCAGACAGTGCTTAATTTCACAAGAACTTTCACATAAACTTAATAACAATAAGAATACGCGTCTCACAAGGTGCTAAGACTATTTTTAACGCTTAATAAAGGCTCGTCCGCCCTTTAAACCACACAAAGGGGTGAACGCCGACACTATTTATCTAAAAATAAAATGAATGAAAAGTTCATTTGTTTTATTATGGAATTCGACAAAGGAGACACGGAAGAAATTATTTTATTGGAAATTTTCTGTTCAAAATTATAATTTTTATTAAGAAAAAACTGAAAAAATCGTTCCTTCACCCCGAACGACGGTTAAATGAACGATGAATGAACCAATTATGAACACATCGATCCATATTAGGGTGATGATCTCTAAGTCAAAGAGTTGAGTTTATTGTGCTCCCATGAAAAAATAGTTGAAGTTAATATAAGTTAAATGATGATTCAGTTGTTGCAACCAGTTTTGGACCTTGGTTCATAATTGGACCATTTGATGCCATTTTTGAATCGAACTGCAAGGCCAAATGCAGCTAGAAAAAGCGTCAGAAGTTCAAAGCAGATGAGGAATCAAAGATATCGGAAATAGATGTTGCTAGGCAAAATGCTACAATACAAAGAAAAAAGTCGTTCGAAAATTCTGATTGCAATCCACGTCAGGTTGCGATCCAAGGTCCATCCACAAATAAAAGCAATGAGAAAATTCCATCGCTATTTAAACGAGTTTTTTTGGCCTGACGCAAATATTGAAGAAACTGAAAGAACGAATGAAAGAAAACAGCGTCAGTTGTCACATCTTCACCAATGTTGGAATATTTGGACTGAGAAAACAAAATTGAGCAATTGGAAAAAGAGAGGAAAAGAAATGAAAGAAAAAAGATAAAAAGAAAGAAGAAAATGGCCAGTTTCAATTGAATCAACATCATCGGAAGACAGCCATTAAGTGGGCAAGAATCTTGCGAGTCAAACTGGCAAGAACGAAGTGGGGTAAGCGAGTCTGGTAAGGTAACAAAGAAATTTGTGACTTTAAAGAAGGAGACTTTGTTCTGGCCCGGTTTGCAGGGGCTAAAAAATCATGTGATCATGTCAATTGTCATGTGATCTGAGTGTTAACAAACATTTTACTGTTGAAGAAGGTGACGAATCTGTGGTTAGCATTAGTCAGATTATTACTGTTCTTCCAACTCCTGACGTCTAGATAATTGAAATAAAGTGAATTTATATTTTTCCTAAAAAATTGGAGTGACGGAAAATTCATTGTTATAATTCATAAAATAAATTTAGATGCGTTTAAGTAATCGTTCCGATATTAATTTTAAGTTCTGCCAATTTTAGTGTTATTTCCTTAAATAGCCTTTTATTTTCACGAAATATTATCTAAATGTAATCAAAGATACAGTCATTTATTTATGAGCGTGTGAAGAATATACTTAACTAGTAGTATGTACTGAGCTACTCTTCTGGTGGTCCACAACTGGAACATAAAAAATATATATGTCCATAATTGGTGTGTGGGTAGCAATAGAAATTTAGGCTAAATTACCTCAAATGGCCCACAATAGGAGCAGTTACTTAAGTACTGTTGTCTTAAAATCAGCTTTTATATCTCTATTGCCGTGAAGAAACACATCCAATGAACATTCGCATATGCCATTCTAGGTTGAAGGACGCTGGCTATGGTGAAAAGTTTATTTTAACACCTGCTGAAGATGACGATGAAGAAATGCAGTCGAAAATGGAAGACGAAGTAAAAGTGGCCCCTTGGAATACAACCAGAGCGTATATTCAGGCAATGAAGGGCAAATGTCTTCTGCAATTAACTGGACCTGCTGATCCTACAGGTTGTGGCGAAGGTTTTAGTTATGTGCGTGTTCCCAACAAACCCACTCAAAGCAAAGAAGAGCAGGAGTCACAACCAAAAAGAACTGTTACAGGTATGTAAAGCATTAACTGGTTAGTTTCCGGAAATGCATGTGTCGAAAATTTAGGCACGGACGCTGATTTAAGAAGATTGTCTCTAAACAATGCAAAAGCCCTATTACGTAAATTCGGCGTCCCCGAAGAGGAAATTAAAAAATTATCTCGATGGGAAGTTATCGATGTGGTGCGTACTCTTTCTACGGAAAAAGCTAAAGCCGGCGAAGAAGGAATGGATAAATTCTCCAGGGGGAATCGGTTTTCTATTGCGGAACACCAAGAGCGGTATAAAGAAGAATGTCAAAGAATTTTTGATCTTCAAAATCGAGTATTAGCAAGTGAGGAAGTTTTGAGCACCGACGAAGGTAATGTATTTATTCATCGTTCTTAGCTGTTTTTTTAAATAAATTTCAATTCTTACAGGTGAAAGCTCCGAAGATGAAAGCGACGAGGATATTGAAGAGATGGGCAAAAACATAGAAAATATGCTGGCAAACAAAAAAACCAGTACCCAACTGTCTTTGGAAAGAGAGGAGCAAGAGAGGCAAGAGCTTAGAAAAATGATCATGGAAGGTGACAAAGAGAGGAAAGAAAAGAAGAAAGATGAGGATGAAAGTCAGGAGCAAGGTATTTTTCGCAGAATCGGTTTTATTACTGACTACTTAATAATTGCACCATCATAGGACGAATTCTGAAGATCATGAGAACATTCAAGAATACAGATGGCAAAGAATATACTCGAGTGGAATATGTTCGAAAACCAGCTGTAATAGATGCCTATGTGAAAATTCGAACCACCAAAGATGATAGCTTTATTAGACAGTTTGCAACATTGGACGAAGCACAAAAGGAAGAGATGAAAAGGGAGAAAAGGCGCATACAAGAACAGCTAAGGCGCATAAAGAGAAATCAGGAAAAGGAAAGGTATGTAAACTCCTTGTTGTCGATTGTGTCCTTTTCTGTATTAACAATAATTTATTACTTGTTATTTAAATTTATTTATAACAATTAGATATACTTGCAGACCGATCGTCATTGATGCATTTGGGTTATCTACAATTTTTTTATTTTTTCAATCACCCGAAAATTTTACAAGAACTAAACTTGTTTTAGAATGAGTTTGAATCATCATTCATCAAGCTCTACGTTAATTCCACACGTACCATCAGAAAAACTGCCTAATCCAAGTGACTCCCCAACGCTAAATCTAGCGACTCCATCCAAAGCAGTTACGCAAAGTCCATCGAAATCTCGAAGACGCACAAAACTAAAACCAGATCTCAAGCTCAAATGTGGTGCTTGCGGGCAAGTTGGACATATGAGAACAAACAAAGCTTGTCCTTTATATCAGAATTCAGGTGAGCAGTGCTGTATTTTGTCTTGAAAAATCAACTTGCCAAAAAATTCTGGTTGATTGTACAGAATTGGAATGTTTTCAATTTAAATTTTGTACCCAAGGTGTCTCTGGTACTCCCATGAGCGTCTCTTTGAATGAAGAACAAGACGATGAAATTGACAGACAGTTAAATACAGACGATGAAGATTTAGTCAACGTTGATGGAACCAAAGTGAAATTATCTTCAAAGCTTATCAAGCATGCTGAGGAGATGAAACGAAAAAGCCTTCTTCTCAAAGTACCAAAGGATGCGCTTGGCAAAAAACGAAAAAGAGGTATGTGATATATGTTATAAGCAATCTAAAAATTCATGATAACTTCATAATCGTCGCTATCGGGGCAACAGTGGCCTAGCTCAAAATTATAGTTAGATTATTATAGAAACAAATAGTAGAAATATATAACTACAGGGCCATATTTTGCTAAAAACTGGCTTTTTACTTCGTTTCGTGACATTTCTGATTCGCACTTCTCTGAACGCAATTCGAACGGAAACCCTTCGAAAAGACAACCGGCTTAAAAGTGCAGTTTCAGTGGTAAGATCGGTGATTGCGACTCGCTGCTGCGTTTGACCGTAGTCACAGTCGCAGCGTGGTTTGGGTGGTGCGTCTATAACTGCAACAGATCAATTCGTGAGGTACATTTGAGAAAAATACTGTTATAAAATAGTCCTTATTTTGTTAGAAAAGGAGGAAAAGAAGAACAATTTCTTAGAAAATATTCTAATACATACAATTTAGCCACCGCTTTTTTCCCACTGATGGGGCTATTTTTCTCCATCCATTTTTTACGGCAAAATTTTCATAATTTTCATTTTTATAATCATGAATCGATGGGTATTTTCAGACTTCCGCAATTAAAATGTCATCCTCTATTCGCTAAAAAATGAGCCATTTTCGCAAAATCGTAGTTGCGACTGCGATTTGACTGGTCCGTCTACCAGTTGAATCGCATTAGCTGCGACTCGAGCCGCTGCGTTTCTAGTCTGAACGCACGACCGAAATCGTTGGGCAAAGTACAAGAAAAGAGTAAGTTGCAATCAGCCGCGAGTCACCATCGCACCACTAAAACTGCACCTTAAGACTGACCATATCGGTCAGTTAAAAATTATAAAAGGCTTGACACTTAACTGATTATCAAAGAACATTATCGCTTGCGCAATAGCTAAGAATGCCACAACATTTTACAAAGAGCGCAAAAATAAAAAAAAGATTAGTGCATCAACTCAAATAAAATCAGCTGATTCCAGCTACCAAATAAAAAGTTCTGGTAGTTTTATCCCCGCCTTTTATAAAAAGGCCTTTTGTATAGATCGTGTGTTCTTTTGCATGATAACGCCCTTGGTATAAATGGGTTTGTTTCTTAAATAGGTGTTTCAGATATACATTGTGATTATCTGAAGCGGCCGAATAAGTCAGCCAATCGAAGAAGAACAGATCCTCTTGTAGTGCTATCTAGCATTTTCGAAGCCGTGTTAAATGAAATGAGAGATATGCCCGATGTCCAACCCTTTATATTTCCGGTCAATCAGAAATTGGTCTTGGACTACTACAAAATCATTCAGCGACCGATGGATCTGCAGACTATCAGAGAAAGTTTGAGGTAATGTTGTTTGTATGTCTAACTGGAATGTCCAGATGGAATTATTTATAAAGCAACTAGATTTAAAATTAGTAAATTTAAATTCTTATTTGCAGGCAAAAAAAGTATCAAAGCCGAGAAGAATTTTTAGCAGACGTAAATCAAATTGTGGAAAACTCCACGTTGTACAACGGCCCAAAAAGCAGCTTAACTGTAGCAGCAACTCGTATGCTTAATAAGTGCGTGGAACGGCTGAGAGAAAAGGAAGATCGGTTGATGCGATTGGAGAAGGCTATTAATCCATTGTTGGATAACGATCAAGTGGCGTTTACTTATTTGTTGGAAAATATCATGAATACGAAGTTAAGAGCAATGTCCGAGTCTTGGCCATTCCACAAGCCGGTTAACAAAAAGAGCGTGAAGGATTACTACACGATTGTAAAGAGGCCTATGGATTTGGAAACAATTTCAAACAGGATTTTGAGTAAGTATTAAGAAAACAATTCGCTTTAAATGGAGCCTAAAACCGTTTTTTTTTTTAATTTTTAGCCCACAGATATCACAATCGTCATGATTTTCAAGTGGATGTTGAGCAAATTTTGGAGAACTGCATTTTGTATAATGGAAAGGACTCGCCATTTACTGAAAAAGCGGAAATGTTAGTGAACAGCTGCAAAGCAGCATTAGATGAGGTAAAAACTCATATTGTGAGTGTTCGAACTGTTCTATTTATGCATTTTCTAGTTTGATGAACATTTAACCGTGCTGGAAAACAAGCTCGCTGTAGAACAGGAGAAAGCAGCACAAGATGATGAATCGTGGATGGTGGGTGAAGAGGAGAGTTACACCCTAAATGAACAAGATAGAATTGTAAGAACAAGTACAAGTCGAGAGAGTTGACATTTTGAAAACGAATTACTTTTTAGAGTCAACTAAGTTCTCCAGATCATGGCATGTCGCCAGGCAAAATGCAACCTGACGATTATGATTTCGTTGACGTGGAGGGCGACGTTCACATGGACGAATCGATGCTTATTCCAAAGAATTTGAAAAAACGCTTTAAATCTGATGAAGCTGCCACTCTGGAACAGGATCTCCAATTTTCAAGTGAAGACGAATTGGATGAGGTAATAATACAGTTCAATTAGAAATTTATTATTTATAAGCTTCCGGCGTGTTACTCGGTGTTTAGATCGATAAATATATTTTCTATGCTTTGACCGCAATCAACAACTCTTTTGCCGGGATGCAGCGTTAGGTTTTTATTTATTTTTTTCTTAAGTTAATGACTTGACCATGGGTATTAGGTAGCTTCTGTTTGTAAGCCGCGTGGATTGGGAATTTAATCCGGTCGGAAATTATTCCTATTCATGTTTATGAAATGTGGTTGCTGCGTCTATTCTTCTTTCTTGTTCTTGTGGTCTGGTGGGAAGTGCTTCTCTCTTTCAGGATGGTTTTATGTTAATTTTAAATATTGATCTAATTGTCGTGATGACCCATAACATGATCGGTAGACTGTTTTTTTTTGTTGATTATAAACTAAAGTACGTGAGTAAAAATTTTGAGCCTTGCAGGAATAAGTCAAAAAAGTTTATTTTTGAGCACCTTGCGTGCGCGGTATACCCATGAGGGCCCCCTTCAACGCGGTATCATTATGCTGCATTTTTAGGTATTACTGACCACTCTAAAAAGTTTCATGCTTATTGGAATAAGGCATTTACATAACATTTATTTACACTTTTCAAAAATTGTTGCTGATGTTTGCTCCCACATTGGCGCGGTAGTCTGCGGGTTTCTTTACTTCTGATATCAAAGCTTCAAAATGAGTAAAAATCAGCTTGTAAAAAATTGTAGCAATAAATTGATCGACGACGTTGCCGAGTCGCACGCCCTTCAGCGGTACTATTACTATCGCCCATTTAAAATTTAAAATTAATAAGATGAACAGTTAATTTCAAATGGTAAATTACAATTGTGAAGCCGTCAAGTTCCGTCAGAATTAATTTGTTAGCACCAAACATAAGTTGTAAATGGTACATTTTCATTTAGGTGCCTCTAACCGAGTTTGAAAGCGATCAAAATGATCAAAAAGGAATTTTGATCTCCGCCGAAATTCCAATGGCAGATGACGATAGTCAACAAGCTGCGGAAGCCATGGTACAATTGGGTTCCATGGGTTTCTACCAACAAGAAGAATTGGCGGAAGCCGAAACGCTGATGTTTAAAGGTAATTGTTTGAAACATTCCAAACAAGCTACTGATTATTTTATTATGTGTGCGCTTAAGGGTTTAATTAATCTTATTTTGAGTAATCAGTTGGTTTCACCTAATTGTTTTTGTAGAGGAAAGTATGGATGTCGATCCAAACTATGATCCGTCCGATTTTCTGATGTCCGGCTTAGCGTCTGTTCGCAAAGTTGAAGATCCTATTCAAGGGCAAGACATCAAGATCCACGATGATTTGGCAGTTAGTGAAAGCGATGAAGAATTGCGTAATGATTTGGAGCCGGAACCCGAAAATAATCCCGAAGACGATGACGGGGTTTGGTTTTAGGCAAAAGGCCCGAAGAGGGAATGGCAATAAAACAACTTAACATTATTTACTTCAAGTTTTCGAATGAAAACTTCAATTAAATAATACAGTATTAATTATTATAGTAAAAACAAGCGAATATTTAGATTGTACATAAAATGTATCGATTAGCAGCTATTTTTTGCATCGTGCAATATGCAAAATAATGTTGTTTTACTTGGTATATTTATTTTACAACAGATGAGTCAATCCCCCGTGTACATTGGCTAAAGTTGATTTAATGCAAGTTGTAAAACCTCCACTGTGAAATCAGCATCTTCCTTGGTGATGCACATGGGAGGTTTAATACGTAGGACCTGTCGAAAAATACTTCATTACAAACTTTCACTAAGCAGTTGTTAGTAGTTGATTTTGTTTTCGTCTTGGGTAAAGTTTATAGGAGTATGTAAATATTGTGAATTGTAAATATTAGTCTACTAGAAGATTTAAGATTGCTAATTATTTTTTTGTTTATGCTATTACTTTTGAAAAATCAAGTATAGGTTATTTAATGAAAAAGTACATACATTTCCATGCAGTCCTCCTTTCCCGAGAATTACACCCATTTCCAGACAGTTTTCCCATAGTGTCATGAATTTACTTGACTCTAAAGGCGCTCTGGTAGCTTTATCTGACACCAACTCTACACCAATCATTAGGCCTTGGCCTCGAACATCGCCAACATTCGCACTATGTTCTTTCAGCTTTTCAAGTTCAAGTAGAAGATGCGTCCCAACCTTCTTGGAATTTTCTTGTAAGTTTTCTTCTTCAATTATCTGAAGCTTTCATATAGTACTAAACGTTACAAGCGTGGCAATAGATTCATACGTTTAGAACGGTTAAACCAACAATAGATGATATTGGGTTCCCGCCAAAGGTATTAAAATGGGTAGCCTTTGTTAGACTCTGGGCAACTTCAGCGGTAGTCGCTACAGCAGCTAGAGGAAACCCGTTCCCAATTCCCTTAGCCATGGTTACAATATCGGGTTCGATGTCATGCGACTCAAAGCCCCAAAAATGGTCTCCAGTTCTCCCAAAACCAGTCTGAACCTGCAAAGCATCGTTCAAATGAAGAATGGAGGAATTCACCTCATTACCTCATCTGAAACAAATACTCCTCCGGATGCTTTCACTGTGGCATGCACTCCCTTGATGTAGTTTGTGGGATATTGGACTACACCACCAACCCCTTGAATACTTTCAGCGAAAATTCCAGCAATGCCATTTGCAGGAAATTCATACTTCAGTTCTTCCTGGAACTGGTTCAAATAATTCTGGCCCGCTTCACATTCGGCAATTTTACAACTGCAGCTTCTATCAGCTTGTACTGGTCCTTCCCTGCAATGGCTGCCACCCCAAATGCCTTTATAGACATCCGGATTCATAGTCTGAAATGTTCAATTGATGAGAGAGATTGAGAAGAGTTGGATGTAACTGTGATTTTTAAGTGTTAACGCGCCTCGTAATCTGTTTAAATACGATTAAGTACATATCTTGATATTAACAAATGGGCGAAACAATAGAAAACTGAAACTGAATCGGGCGCGTGGAACTACCGAATGAAATCCACAGATACCAGCAGAAGAACTTCCGTTGAATGGGTTTCCCCATGGGGAACCTTGCTTGGATCGATCTCGGATTGCCATCCTTGCTTGGATATTTGAATCAAATTCCGCAACTTTATTGCTACTTAGAACTCTGTGATTTGTGATTCGACTCCCTTTTCTCCCACTGTCCACGTTCAGTCGGTAATTCCCCGTCATCGCGAAATTCGTGGGTTTCCCCGAATCAGTTTTTTCCGGGCGTCTCGATCGATCGTCTGTAAATACCCGCGGAGAGTGGCGCCCTGCACGACAGTGCTTGGGATTATTTTTCCGGTTAAAAGCGTTCAGGGTAGTTTTCCTCATTGCTCTGTTAAAGACACTACATTTTCATACAGGCTTACCTTAAAAAAGCCAGGATTTTGCATGACTGGATATTTATAATATCCATTACTAGTCAGAGCCATAGTCTGGTAGGTCATGCCATGGTAGCAATTTTGGAAAGACACTATATTGTGCTTTCCAGTGAAGCTTCTTGCTAGCAGCACCGCTAAATCATTGGCTTCTGAACCGCTATTTACGAAGTAAATTACCTATAGACGCATAAAAACCATTAGGTTTTGATAAAAATCCAAATATTTTAGTATGTCTCGTGACAAATACCTACCTTTAGCTTCTCGGGTAGCTTGCTTGCAAGTTTCTCCGCGTATTCGTGTATTTTTGGATGATAGTACACATTGGAGCAATGTCCCAAAGTCCTAATTTGTTCATTAACTGCCTCTGATATTCGTCTACAAAGAATAAATCAAGAAATATCTTTCCGCTTTAAAACGTGTTTTAAACAATCTTACGGATGAGAATGACCAACGGAGACTGTGCATATTCCGCCAAACATATCCAAGTATCGTTTGCCATCCAGATCAAACAGCCATTGTTTGTGCCCTTGGTGAATTGCCAAGGGTTTACTGTAGTACGTTGTAAGGACAGGATTTAAGCAAGATTTCCGAATATCTGCCATTTTCTTAAAGGAAGGGCCCTACAAATCCGACAATTTTTTTTTAATTTATATTATGTGTATAATACATATCGTGGGCTTAAAGCTAAAACTGACCAAGTCCAAAATATAAATTTTTGGTAAATACAGTTAAACCGAGCCAAAAATTATATCAGAATCCTTTTGGAAGCTTGCTCATAAAAACATTTTAGTACACCTGTTTTGCAGATCATATATATATTTTTTAAATTACCTACAAACACAAAAACGGCAATTTTGGACTTGGGACGTTTACAGTTAAACCCACTATATGTTCTATTACTGCTGGGTTTATTGGGCGATAGATTGCTGAAGAAAACATTATATTTTCTAGGATAACGTTTCGACTATATCGAATATCGAAATATTATATAGTCAATGATAATGGCTTAAATATACCCGAAACGTAGGCGCATGAAAAATACTGTTTCTCTTCCATAATTTATCCGATAAACGGACTTTTAGTAGATTCTATATATGTAGTTGTTGCAATATAAACAATTGCATAGTAACGTCTATAAATTCTTATTTTTTTCAATAATAATCGGCCTGCAAAAACCATTTATTGAAGAATTTTCACATATTTATTTATATTCTAATAAGCTGTAGTCACTCTTTCAGTGGATTCTGTATGGTTGCTGCGATTTAAGCATTTCAGTGTTGCGTCTTAAATTCTATTTTTTTCTATAATAATCGATCTCCAAAAATGTATTGAAAAGAATGGCGCTTTTTGCGTTATTTAATGTTAATAAAATCACCAAAATTCAAACGATACCAGGAGAACTAGTTCGCTGTGTAAAAATTTCTAAAACCTTACTTTGTTGCATTTTGGAACAATGAAATTTGCAAAATGTTTATATATGTAAAATGTTTATTATTATGCAAGATAAGTGTGTATTCAAATATTAATTAATTTATTAAAACTTTAATCGATATTAAAACCATTAATCCATTGAAAAGCTCTATTTTATGCTTGAAAGTAATCTGATTTGGCTATTTATCTATAATTCTAGTCAAAAACTCTATGCTTTTTTACCTTATACTGATTAGGAACAAAATCACATTCCGGCAGTTTAGGCAACGAACTGTATCGTCTAAAATTAAATATTTTATCTCTCATCTTGAACTGTTTCCTTATGGAAGAAACATATTCTACTGATAGGACCGTTTCGAGCGATAATTAAAAATCTGGGACATTATCATATAATGGAACAGAATAAGCCGATTTTTGATTATTCGATACCAAGCTTAATTGACCTTTATATTTACATATTAGTGTTGTTTCAACATGTATGTCCTTTTTAATATCTAACACAGAGATAACAGCGCGAATATGGTATATTAGTATAAAACAGCGGATAGGGCGGTATATCTTTATACCTACGAGTTTTATCCGGTCGTGGATCCTTAGAATCGTTTTCTCAAACATTCCCTCAATACTTGATTCAGATTCGATGGAAAGTTCAGAATTTTTTTAAGGAAATCGTGTAAGTATGGTAGTGAAAATTGGTCGTTTTCAGTCAGCAATTCCTTTGTTGGACATTTTCAAGACTATGAGAGTCAATTTTCGTCTGCAAAAGGTGCTCATTTCAAGTGGCTACTTAATTTCGTTTCAAAGTTGGATCTGTTTAAAACAGGGCGTATAATTTTGAGAACACGTTAGGTTTTTAGGCTGCGGTCGAAAAAAAACAGATATTTGTTTGATGTAAATTTCAGAACTTTCAGGATCAACTACAGAGGGTGAAAATTTCAAAATACTGCTTGGAAGTTGTATTTTTCTAAAATAGGTCGTGTAATGTGGAGAAAATGCTCATTTTTTGGGCAGCATTGACTTGGTCAGGAGTCGGTTCCGTTTCAATAAAATTTTCAGGAGTTTCAGAAATAATTCTTATCTGCAAATCGTGCAAGTTAGTGCGAATTAAATTAGAAGAAAAAGTAGTAATTTAAGATTAGTATTTATTTAAAAATCTATTTTCTTCTCTATTAAATCTATTAAAAAGTCTTGAATAAATATATATAAATGGTTGAGGTGGATTCATGCCTTCAAAATCAATTTTGTTGGGTATTTCGTCTCAAAACTTTAGATTTTTTAAATGGCAAACATTTCCCAGGTCTTTTATTGCATAAAAAATATAATACAAACAATTAAGTTATTAAAAAATAATTACATTTATTGTATATACTTTCCTGACTGTGTTTCAATTCCAAATCAAATTCATTCCTGGGTTTCAGTCATTTATTGTCTATTTATCAATCAACATACGTTTCGGTGTATTTTTCCATCATCATCAGTTTTTATGTGTAGCGTTGTTGCTGCTTTAATCCTTGGCATGCATTTTGCAAGAAATGACTGAAACCCAGGAATGAATTTGATTACATTTATTGTGAGAAAATAACACTCTTCATCAATACGTATTACAAGACATCTGGAAAGTTTGTCTTTTAAGAAGGCAAATGTTTTCAGACGAAATATCCAACAAAAAGGCTTCGAAGGCACCAAACGAACTGGTTTGAGCTTTGAAATGCTCATATAATCAGCCCTCTCCGCCCTGTTGTCATCTCTAGGCACTACATATACAAATTAAACAATTTTGAGTTTGATGACAGATGCGTCAAGTTTGTTTACTTATTTAACCTCAAATAGTTGGATTGTATGCATCCAAATCTGTTCAAATTAAATTAAACTATATTCTCTGTAAGATTCAATGTTTAGCTGTTAGAAGCAACAGAATTGCGTTGTGTAGTGAACTAACTGAGTTAAGTAGACAATCAGCTTGGAGTTGGATGCAACAACCAAAATGAGCAACGAAAACTCAGGCATGGAAAAAATTATTGAGGAAATAAATTCAAAAAATGCAAAAAAACTGGCTTTTTTTCTGATACTGTGCTTTGCCTGTTATCATGCTCTACTACATGTTAAATATGGTAAGTACAGTTCCTGTTAGTAGCATCTCTATTCGAGTGCAATATGCAATTGCATCTTCATATTCAGTGATGTTATAACAAACCTTCATAATGTTATTTATCTCCCTGTAAGCCACAGATGCAACATATATGATTATGCACCCCCCATGTTCAGGAGTAATCTGGTAAACCGAATAAAGTAATTTAGTTGCTCATCATCTTATAATTATTAAGCTATTAATTTTTTATGTTTACGCTCTCAAGATTCCAAACTATACTGGATACTTACTAAAACGTTCAATAGAACACATAGTATTGCTTCAGTATCAAAACATGAATTCAGATTTGTTTCTAATAGAAGAACAGAAATATTTTTTGCGTTGTATTAATGTTCTTGATTTGGTTAACTCCCTAATTATCCTAAAATTTGATTTTAAATTCAAAATTAAATAGTAAATGTAAAAACTCAATCTTGTCTATTGTCAAGTATCTCATTAATTGTCTATTTGTAAATGTAAATAATTTAGGGACAAATTCGTGCCGCTGGTTGCTCTCAGATGGCCGATATAAGGGCGATAAGGAATGGCAACCATATGGATGTATGCTGCACCCTTATACAAAAATGTTAGTATGAGTTAGTTTCATTAATTTTCAATTTTGTTGATGCATTTTTAGCAAGCAGATTGCAATTCGAATCGAACTCCACTTGTTTGCACCTCTTAATATTCTGGGTTATTTTAGAGACACCAAACGTTGTTTAAGATATATAGACTATAATGGCTACAAAACGCACTATGCCTTTATTGGCGACAGCAGAATTAAGCAGCTGTATATGGGCGTTATAAAACATATGGCTCAGAATGAGCAAATGCCTGTCGAGTCCGATAATGTGAATTCCAATTTGTCTTATACTGACGACATACTAAATATGAAAGTTGAGTTTTTTTGGGCTCCGTTTGTTTCAAATGCAATGATAGACTTTTTTAGGTAAATATGGTTTACATTTTCTTAATACATATTAACATATTATTGAGTCAGTAGATTCCTCAAATCAAATTTAATTCGTACCTATCTGTACATATTTTGTTGTACTTCTACTGGTTGATCCAATCAGTCCAATCCAAATAGTTTCTAGTATAATTTCACTTTAAATATGCTTCGCTCCATAAACCCTGCTCATTTGAAACAAAATACACTAACTATCTATTTATTTCCTACATTTTATTTTGCATGTACTTTTTTTTCGACATTTTAAAATTAATCCCAACGCTAAAGGGCCCTAAAAAGTTACATATCAAACTTCTGTTTTTTAAATAGAACATCTTTTATATGATTACATTTTAAAATTCTACGGAATAAATAAAGGCAATTTTAAATAAGATATAATATCTAACATGTTCACCCTTTTTAATATAATGAAGAAAAATGTAGGACGCATTTAAAAAAATTGTGGGTCCTCTTCATTAGCCATTCGCGCTGTATAGTTTATAACATTTCCGAAAGAACCTTTTTCCTACGTAATATAAAAATAATTTCACTGTACATTTATGCAGAATGTCCGAAAACTCCCGTTGCAAATTAAGCAATTCGACTCAAACGTTTAGCGTATTTTAAATGGGATCCCTATATGTTTTTAGATCATCATATGAAAATTTAATCGTTTGCTAAAAATTATTCAAAAAACATCAATTGTCTAAAACCAACCGTTATCCAGGTAATTGCGATTGGTTGCACAAATATTAAATCGTAATTGAAATTATTATTTTACGAAAAATCAATTGTGCTTTCATTATGACTGTCTAACTTTAAACTTATCATGCATGATATTCCTATGTTTCTTGGGTCTCAGTCAAAGTGTGAAGTAAAAATTTCGAAACATCGTTTATATTACGTTTCGGCGAGACAACAACGCCATCATCAGATTTGAAATTTACACAAACTCATGATTGGTAAAAATTAACGTCCTTTTAGGTCTTTGCCTTCTTGAAAACCTTTTTTGAAATGGTCGTTACTTTCGTATTTTCCAGTGCTTCTCGGAAAACTGCCTCATAATAATCATACATATTAAAGAGGCGGAGTGATAAGACACATCCCTATCTGACACCTTTTCGTATTTATAACTCATCCGATGTTCTGTTCTGACTTCTGCAGTTTAGAGTGATGATGCGTAACACAGTCGAACGCTTTTCTATAATCAATGAATCAAGCGTACACATCTACTTTTTTTTTAAATTATTTTCTGGTGGTACCAAAGTAACTCGAGTAATAACGTCCAGGTTTGCCAAACACGCATTTCTGTTTGTTGTTATTGTGAAACGAAATGCGAGAGATTATTTTCTAAAGCTTGTGGTATTATAAACGAGCGAAGAACTAGAATCAGTAAAAAGCGTCTGCAAAAAATTTTATTCTTAAATGTTAATTCATTTTTAAATGAAAATAAGATTTTTAAACATTTTCGCATATAAACCGTATTGCTTATTATTATTTAATCACTCTAGTTTTATTATTATCAGTTTTTTCTGACCCATGTTTTGCTTTTGATTTTATAATATTTTATTTTAAGCTTACCAATGTTAAGAATTATGTTTTTAATAAAGATAATCATTATATATGATCACTATTTCTACTATCCTCATCATTCTGCATTTTTAATGAAAAATTATAAAAGTAACATGTTTCTTTTTGGAACCGCATTTTGGAACCTATTACCAATGTGAAGCTGGAACGTTGTAACCCGTTACAGAAAAATTAGCGTTACTACACCTTTACGCTGGGTGGTTGCACCGTCGAAAAATCGAAACGTTTTTGATTGATGAAATTATTGTCACTGATCCATGTCTCCTTACTTTACCCTAGATGATACAGTGTGAATAACTGCTGAAGTGGGCCCACAATTTTTTAAATTCGTCTTCACAGTTTCACATTTTATCAAAAATGGTTCACATTGTCTATATTATGCCTTATTGAAACTTTTCTTTATTTTTCTTTTGAATTTAATAATGTAATCACATACATATAGGATGTTCAATGTAAGAAAATATATTTTTGACATGTAACTTTTTTGGTTCTCCCTGTATAGTTGAAACATTATAGTGAAAATAGTGATTTTTAAAATCGGTGTAACCGAAAATCGGAATACGTCGAACCACCCCCTTGTACAAATAATGCGGTTTTTCAGAGTTTGGGAGGCATCAAAAGACCCACCGTCTGTTATTGTAGTGGGCTCAGCGTTGTGGTCCATTATCAATTCAAATGGCTCCAAAGAGTCGGTGGAACAATATAAAATCAACCTCACTAGACTGGTGCAGCCCATTGATCGGTTATATGAAAAAAAGTCCAGAATCTTATGGACAATACAAGCGCCAGTTAATCAAGATAAACTTGTTGCTGACAAAGCGGCGGTGAAGAATAATTTACTGGATTTGTATAACAATGCCGCTATAGAGGTGAGTATTTATTGATTGCACGGAACTTGGCTGCACCAGAGATTTACATTTTCAGATATTGTCTGACTCAAAAGCTAATTTATGGTGGAGTATTCGGCTGATTGGGCAAGGAATGGTGCTGGAAAGCCCTGATGGTATTCACTTAGCTGAAAGACCATTGAAACACTGCACTCAGATCTTGTTGAATATGTATTGCAATGATTACATGAACTTTAATGATGGTACTTGCTGCAGCTCAATGGAATCGTACACTACTTTGCAGATTGTGACTTTTGTAATTCTAGCTTTTTGGTAAGTATTTCTATTCAGAACCCGATGGAACTGAGACAAAAATCAATATTTCAGCGTTCTAACAGCGAATTGCATGGGGTTGTATCGATTCATTATAAAACTTCGAGGGCGGCCGCTTCATGACTACCAACTGGTGCCAGACGTTGAAAGCGATGCGCCCCTTGTAAGCACTCAAAATTACTATTTACTTTTTACCTCTCTCACGAAAATGTCCATTATTATGGCGTATTTCTTTATATGCGACCGCACGAATTTTTTTATGAAAGAAAATAAATACTACTCTGAATTCAGTTTTTGGTTGCCAATCGGTTATGTAATGGTTTTGGGTTTATTTTTTACTGAGGACAGTAAACTGACGAAAATTTTGCACAGAGACCAGTTAAACGAGTGCAAAGGTTGGATGCAACTGGTAATCTTGGTTTATCATGTCACAGGAGCGAGCAGGATTTTAATAATAAAAATGCATATCAAGGTGTTAATATCTTCGTATCTGTTCCTGTTGGGGTACGAACAGTTTTCCTACGTCTGGCACAGAGGAGACATAAGTATTGTGAGTCTTTTCCGAAATTTATTTAAACTCAATTTCATGACCGTGACTTTGTGTCTTTGCATGAATAGGCCTTATCAGTTTTACTATTTTGGGCCTCTGCTTTCTTTCTGGTACTTGATGATCTACTGTTTCTTCGCATTTCCACCTCATATTACAGCTCAAACGTCTGAGAACAATTTAAAACAGTTTTTCTATCTGCTGATCAAGTTCGTTTGCCTTTTCAGCATTATAACGATACTGTTTATGTCTGAAGTATTCTTTGAGAAAATTTTCGTCACTAGACCATGGAAAGCGTTATTTGTTACCACCGACGATGATATTCACGAGTGGTGGTTCAGATGGAAGCTAGATAGGTATTCAATTATTTATGGAATGTGCTTTTCATTATTGCTAACTGTTGGTCAGAAATATAATATATTTGACGATAACAATCATTCGAACTTGTTTTCAAAGGGGATGGCTCTAAGTGCTACTCTAGCCGCATTTTTAGGGCTGGGCACCTACACGACCATCACTTTCCTTTGCAGAAACGAGCTGGAATGCAGTGAAATCCATTCGTATGTTGTATTTATTCCCATAGTGAGTTACATTTTTCTTAGGAACATCTCTGGAATGCTTCGTACGCGCTATTCCAGTTTTTTTGCATGGTTTGGCGAGATTCATTTAGAACTGTTTCTGAGCCAGTACCACATATGGTTAGCGGCTGATACACACGGCGTTTTAGTGCTAATACCAGGCTTTCCTGTATTAAATCTTATCATTACCACTTTCTTGTTTGTTTGTGCTTCACATGAGATTCACCAGGTAACTAACACACTCCTACCATACGCTGTTCCGAGCGAGTGGAAGCATGTTCTGAGAAACTTTATATTGTTTCTAGCGATTTTAGTACCCATAGGTATCAATGATGGAATGTTTTATTGAAAAAGTGGTTTGGTTTGATGTTTTTCAATTTTTATTTGTCAAAATTCGGACTATGGACATTGCAATTATCTCAATTTGGGTCCAATACTTGCTCTTCAAGCAGCGTTTTTTATACATCCAAGTTATTACCGCAACACTCAAATTATGTTTTACATACAGTACGGTACTATTTATTATTGAGGTCAGTAGTAAGTAGGCTGCAGATCAGGGATTTCCATTCTGAGATATGATATAGAGCTAGAAGCATTAGATATTTCTACACGATACTTTGTGATACATAATTGTATATTGTAATATTTAAAATCTGTGATATTAAATGCTAATGAAATATGAAAAGAACTTTAATTCCGTTTTATTCACACACCATTACCAGGACTGTTGCGGCCAAGTGATAATAAAGCACTTATAATCCTTCCCCTGAGCACCATAATTGATTTATTCACATTTTAACTTGGTAGAAGATGGAAATCATCGCTTACATGTACTTCAGGAACATTCACTTTGTTGGATAAATCACCAGCTTATATTTCGCAATAGCTTAATTAATTTACTATAAATGTATAGGTAAATAAAAGAGGAACATAATTCAAACAATGTGTAAAAACGAAACTGGTATAATTTCACAACTAAACACAGTTGGTGAAGTAGTTTGTCAAAGTAAACATCAATTATAAGAATTGGCAGCATGAGATGCCGTAGTATCAACAAACCATTTCTAAACCTGAATCAGATCAGCCATTTCCATGCTTTGTTAGGAAAACTAATCGAACAATTGAGGTCACGGTTAAAACGAACGAAATACTTGAATTACGTGAGAAGTTGAATAATAAAGAAATAAGAAATGAATAAAAAAAAGAAATTAATAAATAAGAAATGAATAAAAAACTAACAAGTGCAGGTGTTGAAAAATGGGTAAAAAATGAAATTCAGCTCCTGTTCAAAATTATAAATTGAATTCTTATAATGACGACATCCATGTATATGTTTTTGTGTTAAAATTCGTTGTATTTATGTAAAAACAGTTGCACTAGTTAAAGGATTAACAGGCATCAGGAAATTATTATTATGAAATAATTTTGCTGTGTGCCTCTCGCGACAAGGCACAAACAACAACCATGAATAATAGGAAACAGAAGCCTCCTGCTGGATTTTTCGACAGTGCAATAAACGGGATTTCAAGTTAAAATATCTATTTAAATATGTATATATATGTTTGTTTATATTATTACTTGCTTATAGAATATGTTAATATGTAAACTTGTTTTCAGAATCAAAATTTTTTCTTAATAATAACTAGATCTATCAACTAGAATCCAAGTGAAATGCAAACCCTTCATTATTTATATATTTTTTATATTGATTTTATTTTTTTGTTCAATTTGTTTCTTCTTTAATTGGCTGAACGAAATGTTTGATATTAGTATGTCGGTTTAAAGAAAATTCAGTTCCAAATGTTGAATTGCAATAGTCGCATTGAAATGCCCGTTGTCCTGAGTGAGAGTTTAAATGCCTTTGAAAATTTTGTTGATATAAAAACTTTTTATTACAAATTTTACAGTTAAACTGTTTTTCCTTTGTATGTTTGTTTCGGTGAGAATTTAAATGACATTTTCTTTTGAAATCCAAATTGCAAATATTACATTTAAAAGGGCGTTTGTCTGAATGCGATTTCAAATGCAGACGCAAGTGATTTGCAAAATAGAAAATTTTATTACAAATCTTACACTTGTACTCGTTTTCCATCGTATGCTTGTTTCTATGGACGTTTAAGCAGCTTTTTGATTGAAATGTTGCATTGCAATAGTCGCATTGAAATGCCTGTTGATCTGAGTGAGAGGTCAAATGATTTTTCAACGTGGTTGGATAAAATAACGTTTTGTTACAAATTTTACAGTTGTACTGTTTTTCTTTTGTATGCTTGTTTCGGTGAACATTTAAATCTCCTTTTCTTTTGAAACATGAATTGCAAAAATCACATTTAAAAGGGCGTTTGTCTGAATGAGTTGTCAAATGAGCTTTAAGATATTCTTTTAAAGCAAATGTTTTGTTACAAATATAGCACGTGTATTGATTTGCATCAGTATGAAAATTTCGATGCTCAGTTAGGTCAGATTTTAACTTGGATGTAAAATCGCAAAAATCACATGCATAAAGGAGAGCGTCTGAATGGGATTTCAAATGGTCATCTAAATTTGAGTATAATAAAGTTTTACTACAAATTTGACAAGTGTACTGTTTATTTTTCGTGTGTCTCTTTTGATGAGCCTGTAGGTACCTTCTTTGTTTATACTTTAAACCGCAAATATTGCATTGGAAACCCCCACTGCCTGCGTGACACTTATTTAAATGAATATGTAAATTTGACTTATTTATAAAACTTGTCGAGCAAATATTACAGGAGTGTTGATTTATTTGAGCAGCATTCGCAGCCTGTTCAGATGTGGTTTCGCAGCTACTTAGATCACATGTAGCTTCGTCTTCAATTTTTACCAGTGCAGATAAGTCTTGTTCTTCAATTGTAATTTCTTCCTTTACTTGCATATCGAAGTCCGGTGTCATACCAATTGCGTTTCTAAAAACCAAATTTCATAGTTAGCGAAAAATATCCAAGACTTCATTCTGATCTTATTAGCATAACTTTATCTATAATTATAACTTTATCTATAATTATTTAAGGAACAAACATTTATTCAGGTTCTAATGTTTCAATCTTTACATAATTGAATAATAATAAATCTCCAGCTTATATTTCGCAATAGCTTTATTAATTCAAAAATCGTAAATAATTTTATATTTATTCCTCAGTCAATCACATACTTTAATTTACTATAAATGCATAGGAAAATAACAGAGGAACATAATTCAAATATCTGTAATTCAAACAAAGTGTAAAAATGAAAACGGTATCATTTCACAAATAAACACAGATGCTGAAGTAATTTGTCAAAGTAAACATCAGTTATAAGATTTGGCAGAATAAGATGCCGTAGTCTTAGCAAAGTTTTTCTAAACCTCAATCGGATCAACCGTTTTCAGGCTTTGTCAGGAAAACTACTCGAACACAAAATGGGCTATAAAGCTTCGATTTCGCCATTTAAATGTCAACCGCAGGAAAACAAGAATTTTCTCTTAATTTGGAGTTTTTCTCAGAAAAATTGCTACCTTTTTTATGCGAAGCTTCAGTTCTTAAATGTCCTATTTAGTGAACTATTAAGCGGTGTACTAATTACCACTCCAGCTCAACCTGCTTTCGAGAAATTAACAAAAAAAGACCCCAAGTATGAAAGTTTGGCCTTATTTTGC